CATTACAAATGTCAACATTTAAATCATCACCTTATACTACTACTCACAAAAGCACAGCGAAAATGATTAAACAAATTGCTAAAGACATTCCAAGCAGCTCGTTATCGCAGAATGACCTACCTCACCTTTCTATTATAGGGAAACGCTACACTTTTAAAGGCCCTGCACACCCACATAGGTGAGATTCACTTATTTAAACTGATAACACCTCTGCTCAGGTTCAAGTTGGCCAGTGCTGGAGATACTGTATTGCACCACCATTCACAATAGATTCATTTTTTCCAGCTGTGAGCAGTGCCTCCTTTTCCTCTGTGCATTGTATTTTGGGAGAATAGTTTACATCAGCAGCACTTTTAGTATGCATACTGATTGTTTCAAGTATACTTTTCAAGTGTAAACACTACAACTTGAAACCTGCTTGAAATTAGTACGAAGTATACAATTGGGACACAGCTCACGCCTAAATAAGAACGGACGCCCTCTATTTTCCCATCTCCCACAGAAAACTCTGCTCTGAACTGTCTGAAAACAGCTTGTTTGTAGTCCAGCCACTTCCCTTTCATCCCTGTGACATCACAGGGATGAAAGCTGAATGCGCCTCATGTAACGCTCGCCAAGCGGTTAGTCCGACTCGCCCTTTAAAAACTCCCTTCCAAACACTAGCAACGCTCCAGCCAGTCAATGGACATAAAGTTGTTACTGTGATGTAGAGACAGAGCTCAGTTAAAACTTTATGGATGAAAAATACTTTTGTTACAGATTAATAACTCACCACTCAGAAACTCTTGCTCTAGTCCAAATTGCCAACCTGGTCGGCAACTTGTACAGCTGAACTGAAGCCGTTTACCGGCTTCTCACTGACCCACCCTTCTCTGCTTCTGATTGGCTGGAAGTCCTTAACTACGAACTGGAAGTCCTTAACTACGAACTGCGTATGTGCAACTCCCAACAAAGATCATTTAGAGACAAGATGTATCACTCCATAGCTAAAACAAAGCCTTTAACACAAAAGAGGAGCTGCAGCAATGTGCAGTATGAGTATAAAAATATAGTGTTTTTTGAAAATGAAACCACGTAACCTGTTCTGGTACAACCCCTAAATAAGATAATAAGATAAGACAGAGTCCTGAAAAGGAGCATAATACCACCTTTTTAACAAATGCAATAAAACTAATAGGACAGTGAGAGAGGTGTCAACAGAGCTCAGTTTGTACACAGCCACAGAGTTTGGCTAATTGGACCTCTTCTCAGGACTAAGGAAAAAAACCTATGTGGCTGTGCAATAGGTGTGCAGTGAGCAATGAATTTTCTGAAACATTTAAATGTCACTTAACTACATTAGATATGCAAACAAAAAAAATTGTCATGGGTGTATAGTTTCCAGTTGCTCCGATGAAGAAATGACCAACATGTCGGAGGTGGATGACACGGATGGGCAAATATTTATTACAAGGCTTACGGTTCCCTAAAAATCTGATTTTCTGTATTTTAGCATATAACCTATTTCATATATAGGAATGTTAATAATTTGACATAAGCTTGGATTAAAACAATGAATCAGCAAAGTCTAATATAACAACTGTGTAACACAGTCACAAACATCCTTCATGATGATATGATTTTACTCAGCTCCTCGGTTTATATTTTTGGTGTACTGGACTGTAATTCAACCGTGGTGTTCTGTCGGGAGATCCAGTTATTTAAACTAATGGTGAGAAAAGTATAAATCCCGTAATACGTTATAAAACGGGGACATGGTGAATATTTTACAAGCACGAACAGGTTTATAATAAATAATATGTGAATTGTTATGCTATGAGTAGAGGAAAAGTCCAATGGCCGCTAGGCTAATTTTTGCAGTGTAAGATACCGTAAGCTTGAGATAATAATGGTGACTAGCAAGTTGTAGCAACTGTAACCCGTCATTTCGGCTCGAGCTGAAGTAAACATGCAACAGCCTGGCTGAGAGTGAGTTTGGGTGTTTAGGGAGGGGCAGGGGGCGCCGCTGTGAAGGAAAAGGTGCGCTGGATTTATAACACAAGACAAAACGAGTGTCATTGCGAAACAGCATGCGGCACAATAATGGTTTTAATTAGATGAACTGAAAATCAATGAACAAAAATCGAAATAGTGATTATATTTTGATTAATTCCACAGCCTTAATTCAAAGTAATACAAACAGAACTTATTGATAAATTACATTTACATAAATGCCCAGTATTATTTGTGTTACCTTTGGGAGTCAACCAAAGAAGTAGTCAGTTTTGCCATACAGCAAGCGGGCATTACAACAAGACCAAGAAGCAGATGGCTGGAGAGCAACAATAAAAAAGAACAGAGACACAGACAGACACAAAGAAATAAAGACCATAGGGCTATTAGGGCTGATAGATGAGCAATAAAGCCGAGTGTGACAACGCTTGCACAGGCCGAACAACAACAAGAAAGGAGGTGAGAGAATGAGAGGAGAGTGATGGAGGAGAAGGAATAAAATATAGTTGAGTCAAGGAGCTGGAAAGGAAGATTTGCACACTGCCAGAGCAGCTTTGTGTAACTACTTCCGCTTCTTTTTTTGTGTGGAAGAAGAACTTCTTTTGGAGCTGCCCGTAAGCATACTGAATGAAATACAATCCTTGTGTTTGCTGGGAGGTTTGTTTAGCTCACTAGATTTCTAAGGAGAGGCAACACCACCGCCAGTTTCCCCAGTAACCGCATCGGTGGGATCTGCCCAGACCAGTGGGGAGGATGGCAGCATGCCACACAGCGCCGACAGCATGCTAATATAAAACAGTTATGTAATATTGGATTAGGGGGGAGAAATTAGTATTCTTACGCTTCTGACTCAGCTGTAATAGGCAATATCTTGAAACGTTTAATTATATCACAGAAATGTAAAAACATCACTTTAAAATTGTGTTAAGATGCATGGGAGCCTGGGCTGCATAACTGAATCTGAAAACTGAAGCCTCTCTTGAGCATTAATACGGCCTGTGATGCAGAGTTTAGGTATCAAATGTTTTGCTTGAGTGAAATCACAGACTAATCAGTGTTAGATAAAGTTAATTTGGCCATTGGACCAAAGCTCCTCTTACAGACCTTTATCTCGTACAATGTGAGGAATGTCAAGCTACCTCATCCCTTTTTGTTCTTTTTATCAGTCAGTCTTTGAGTGAGGCTGTCGGCTCTGAGCAAGCAGCGGGGAGGGTACTGAGCTCAGCGGAGACCCTAAAAAGAGATTTAGCCAGCAGAAGAGGACACACGCAGACACAGCTGAGACGCTAGTTACACACATGAAGCTGAAGCAGAGTTCTAGCTGAGTTGACACCTGACAAAATGTTGACGAAATGCTGTGCAAATTCCAGTGTTGACTGTTTGTGTATTCATGTATACAAGTAAGTTACTTATACCAGTGGTTTTGCATGTTTTACCCCGTTTACTAAAAATCAAATGTACCTTACATTAAGGTTAACAAACCATACTGCTGTTTTACAACCACTGTTTTACATTAATTTCTGTACAGTCTAATCAAAGCAGACTTTTGAAACTTAAAAAGTGTCATCTATCAGAGTGTACCTCAACTCTGCATTTATTGTTGTCTAACTTGCATTACTGCTGCATGGTGAGGCAGTTTGATTTGAAAAATCTGTTCTGCATTATCATGCACTGATAATGTAACTCAAATAATGCAGACTTGGTTGTTCACTGTGATGGCTGACATAGCTCGTGTTTCAAGAGTCTAATAGATGAATACTGCATAGAAATGAATGGAAACAAGTGGTTGTCTGTAATGGAGCAGAAATTCTATAACATGAAACTCTACACCATGCATTTGAATATACATTTAAATTACTGGCACAGCCCTTTAATCAAGCAACATTATGGAATTTAGTTAAAACAAAAATTAATTTCTTCTAGTGTCAACATTTAGACAGAATTAATTTGGATTTTTGTTCTCATTTTGTCCTGGACTTTGTCCTTTAAAATCACCAACAACAGCAAATGGTAGTGCTGGAACCTTTTTGATTACAGTACTGCCACAAAAGAAAACATGAGGTTCTTGGGTGGTAAAACTGGCTCTATGCCAGGCCCTTTCAGCTGCTGGACTAGAGCCAAGAAACCTGTGATGTTGGGTGTAGGCTGATGTCATCACCATGCAAACCTAACCTTGCTGCTAAGCAACAAGAAGTATCATGAGCAGTGAGGAGAGTTTGAGGTTAAAAATGGGAAATAATGTAAATGGGACATTGAATCAATTTGAAATTAGCTTGCTCAACGTCAACTTGGTCAGAAATAAGAGAAATGTTGCATATATTGGACAGTTTGCAATGAAAAGCTACAATAAATTGTGGGTTCTCTACAACACTGGGACAGAAACTTTAGAAATACTAAAGCAACTACAAAAAAAGACCACTTTTCCTGCCTTATCCGATTGTGTTATTAAGAGAGAAACATTCATATGCTTAATTTTATTAATTTATAATTTTATAAATAATTTGTCAAAAAAAAAAAAATAATAATCTACGCTTCACTGTGATGAGAAATTAAAATATTTGCTGTACAATTACTGTACATTTCCTGGTGGCTTTAATCCATTTAAAAACATGCCAATAGTACAATCATAATATAACTATTTTAGTTTTGCTGCTTACAAATTATCAGCAGACACTTGTTTAGCATAACATTTTCTTTTTGTTGCCCTGTAGGTCTTTGAGAGGATTAGTGAGGTAAACACATGATCACATGCTCCATGTTCTACATCTTTCTCATGCCAGCTCACTAAACAGGTGAGCGTCACAGTGTACATGCAGGAAGTGTGTGAAATTTGGCAGTCTCTAAAAGGCTTAATGACGTCCTTCCTGTTTCTCTTAGTGACTGCCCTTGCTTTGAAAACAATTCAGAAGAACTCAGTTCTCCAGCAAGAATCTAACTGGTGGGTAGCATAGTTTCTAGAGAAACAGAGATTCAGTATCTGTGGAAGAAATTAGAATGGGCAAACTTACCCTCTACCTCCTCCTCGTCACAGATATGCTTGAGTAAGGACACCCCCCGGTCCAGCACCGCCTCATCCTCCATCCTGTAGTAGTAAAAGAGGAAGAAAGACTGCTCACACTTCTCCTCCAGCGACAACGTGGAGCCATAGCGCTTTGGCTCGTTCACTTGCAGTAAGTTCGGACTGGGGCTCAGTCTGGTGCTGCTGGTGGCGCTCATATCCACCCATTAAAGACTCATTGACAGATAAGCTATGTGACTACCCCAGAGCTCTGAGATAGCACCTTAAGATCTGCTTTACAGTTAGTAAACTACCCTCAAGTGTGAGAAAATGTGTTGTCCTTGAGGAGTCCAAATTGCGCAGTCGATAGGTACGGTGGAATGGATTTAATCTAGCGGAGGAGGGTGAGGGACAGGACAGGAAGTCTTTGCTAATTGGGTGTGATGGTCAGAGTGACTGGTGCTACTCGTGTGCAAAAAATGCCCTACTGACTGTAATTTGACCCCAACAAAATCTGGATCTGGCTCCACCTCCACTTCACCTATTAGACACTGAATCAAGGTGTGGAGTTTTATTACTGGGAAAAACAGATCTGAAAAAGTATCAAGTTAGTGTTGTGTCTGATTAGTCACACGCCCACACACACTACAAAGCCTCTCCATCTGGTCAGTAATGCCTGCCAGCCCCCCCTCTCCACTACCCTCCACCTAAGAAACAAGTGGGGCATCACATGTCTGTCTACTCATCCGCCCTTACAGGATTACACTGGCTTTACTTAAGTGACAAGACACACACAAGCCCATGACAGGCCGGCTTGTTGGAGCCTCCGCTGCTCTCTGAGACATCTTCAAACTCATACCACCTCGTACGGTTTCCCAACAAACATCGACGTGAAAAGGAGTTTTAAAGTTTTTCATTCAAGCTAGCTCAGTTGCTCAGTCAGCTAATACATGCTGAGTGAACAAAGAAATCATTGCAGTCTTTAAGACAAACATATTTGCATCTTTATATTAGAAGCTATGTCAGGATGAACAGTGTTCAATCAGAGTAAAATTACTTAGTCCATTCTAGGTAAAAGTGGACTGTACAGGACAGGCTAAGTAAATTGGCAGGAAGATACCCTGGACACAATGGTCTCAAAAGGTCAAAGGTCAGCTACAAAACAATACACTTCCAGCTGGTCAGGATTCTGCGACCTGCTTAAGGACGTTTCAGCGCGAGATGACATTCTCTGCTCACTGCATCACGCTGCATAATCTTCACCTCACATATACTAATAGATTTAGTCAATCATCTTATTGTTTTGAAGTGAAAAAGAGTAAACAGGAAGAAAAGCACGTTTGCAGCAGCTACCTCTGCCAAATCATCAGTGTAATTATAACAAAAATCAGCACTTTTTTTTTCTATTTCTATTTCTATTACACTTGCTATTACTCTGTGATAATATCAGCTGTGTGTAGACAAACAAATCTCCAACCAACACAAAAGCATTTTAAGAAGACACCAACTTCTCAAACTATGTAAATGATCTGGTTCAACCTGTAAAGAGTTTTAAAACAACACCATGATTTAGTTAAAGGTGGTCCTTTATCTCTGGACTTTACAACTTATACTGGCCTTCCTACTTCCTCCATTGCCACCTATGGAACAATCACAGACATAACAGGCCAAACTCCCCTCAACCTGAGCTGACAGCCCACTTATATGGAGTCACAGGAGTGCCATAAAAAAGAATAAATAATAAAATAATAAAATGTGCAGATATTAAGAGAAATACATAAAATAATAAATAAGTAAATAATAAAATGGTGAAATATAAAGAGAAATAAAAAAATATGGAAATATTATGCTAAGCATTTTCATTTATTTTACATATACTTAGTATATATTTATATATTTTTTAATTCTAATAAATTCATAAATTAAATGTTTTAAATGTTTTATTTGTTTTACATTATATAATTTCTTTGTTTTCATACCTTTAATTTTTTTAATGTTTTTCCCCTTTTGCATTGCTATTCCTTAAAGGGCATTAGCCAGCCCTTCCTGCCCAGGCTGAGCGTCAATATCTGCACACATGAGAATCTTGCGTTGGCGGGAGCTGTTTAGCATGGACAGGAAGTAGACACGGTGCAGACGTCTGACAGCTGACATTTCACTTTGACCACACCACTACTGTTCTTCTTCATCCGTAAGTTGTTTTCTACCTAAGTTAATGTTCAACAAGTTCAGACATTAAATTTAGTTTATTACAGTAGGGCAGTTGTTGGCATTTTGCGTTACAGACGTATTACAAGCTAATGCTAGCTAGGCCTGGGTAAAGTTAGTAGTTTTCTAACAACCTAAGGTAACACTAGCAAAGTAACTTAGCCAAAGTTAGCCAACTTTACTGCTGGTAGCTCACTAATTTACAACAGTCGGCTGCTGTCAACAAGCTCGTTAGCTAGCATCTCTCCGTGCTAGAGACTGATGTTTCCTGTTATTTTGATCTTAATATACAGCATTATGTATGATGTAACATACTGGAGAAGTAGATGTAGCCCACTAGTCATTTGTGTGCTGATAAAGTTTACACTTGTACTTACACTGTAAATTTCTCAGAAAATCATAGACTTAAGAAATAACTAGCTACCATAACAGAAAATCTGAAGGCTTTGATGTGAATATAAGCAAGAAATATTTGTCAAAAAGCTATTTGCATTGCAGTTCACCTGGTAGACGTGGTGCTTTGTTAAAAGAAATGATTAGGATCAACACACAAGAATGTAAAGACGTAATACAAAAGAATGTTTTTGGCCCACTTCCTCTGAGCACTTTGAGGGGAATCCCCATAATACAGGTAGACAGGTCAATTGCAAGGAATAAGACTTACTTTTCAGTCAATTCATTAAACAGTTCACTATTTAGTAGTTTCACTTTTAAATCCATGTCATAATGCATTTAAAAGTGACAACTGTGTCATACACTCAGCCAGCGGAAACGTTTCCATTTCAAGGTTTGGATATTAAATTAAGTCTCTACCACAGACTGTAAATAAAGATGGAGCTGTGTAGAAATTATATTTAGTTGAAGAATGCATTGGGAATATTTTTTGCTATCATGTTGAATAATTTAAAATAATAGTGACCAGCTATTAAAATTATAAATATGCAAGATGAATACGACAGCATCGAATATGGCCTTTTAATGAATAATCTCCATTCTGACAAACAAATGCTGTTAATGTCTTCCTGTGGTTTGATTATTGTACGAATTGATATTAAACTTAGTTGCAGATATGTACCATAGTAGAAAACTGACTTAGACCAACAATTTAATAAAGAATTTTATTGCACATTAAAAACAGCAGTAGAATGATTTTACCATGGTGAAAGGCCAAAGTGAGCTTAATTATGCTAAGACAAATTTAGTAGTAGGTAGTAGGTTTTCAGTTCTGTATTACAAACAGTATTAAGCATCAATAGTTGACAGTTGACATGATAACACACAGTGTAGAAATAGTAACATTAACATTACAGAACTAATGTTGTTGGTTTTGGGCTTTAACACACTTAGCAATAGGCTACTAAAAATACTGTTTAATGTAGGGATGAAATGAACTTGAACACAAAAATAGCCCAGGCTAGCCAAACCTTATGTGATGGTGATATACAAAGCTGCCACTTGACAATGAGGAAATGTAGCCATAACACTGTCCACAAACATGCGGGGCTCGTCTGTCTTTGTCTGGCAGCAGCTGTTCCACCTGCATCGTTGGGTGAGACAAGTAATGCAGTGTGGAGGGCAGTGATGACAGGCGGGTCATGCAGGTCCGAGACGGATGCCGGTGACCTCCTCAGGTCATCTAGTACTGCTCTTACTGGTAGGGACTGGTCAACGAAACAACCCAAATATCATCCAGTCCAAAGTTGGTCCTCGTGGTCTCCATGGACTGCTGAGACAGACTGGCTACGGATGGAAAATGCATTGTGATAGGGACTGATTCTGATGTAGGGTAGCGATAAAAAAGTTTGAAAACCCTGACTAGCTAGCTACCATTTGTTAATATGACTGCAGAATTCTCTGTTTTAGAAATACTGAATAGAATTATATCGTCCAAATTAGTCTGCTATATATGATATTAAGATCTATTATACTATTATGATAAAAAAAAATATGATTACAGGAAATTAAACTTAATTGTGTATGTGTATTTTGTGTTGTAAATGTCACTGTCGATGCTTTATGCACCACGTTAAGATTGCTAACATAAATAGTGTGAATTCACTAAACCAAATTTTAATGTATCTTTAAAATTTTGGACTACAGTCAACTTATATTGCTAAATGCCTTTTTTGTGACTCCCAAGCTTCCTCACACTCATTTTTCTTCACAATGAATGATACTGAACTGATTGAATTACTATGAATCAGTAAGCAGTACAAAAAATGTTTAATCTACTAACTAGTTTACACTTGCTGCTCTTTTACTCATTAAGAATCTGTGTGTTACATTAATGTAGGAAGCTAGTTGGAACATTATTAATAATACTCACCGGTCTGGTAAATGTAAATGCTCCGTATTTGTATAGCGCTTTTCTAGTCTTTTCGACCACTCAAAGCGCTTTTACACTACATCTGCATTCACCATTCACACACACATTCATACACTGAGCATAAGGGCTCAGACAGAAACTAACATTCACACACATTCATACACTGGCGGAACAGCCACCAGAGGCAATTCGGGGTTCAGTATCTTGCCCAAGGTGAAAGTGAACCGACAGCAATGGGCATCCCAGGACATCCCACTTGAAAGGAATCAAGTGGCCTTTCTTTTTCTGTTGGCTGGGTGTGGAGTTAGGTGGGTCACTTGGATCATCCCAAAACCACAATCATCGTACACATAATAAGCGTGTTAGTGACTAGTAACATTAACTATTCACGACAAAGAGAGGGAGTAATGCTTGCCCCAACCTTTCTCCAAAAACACGGGCCAGCTGTGTAGTGTATAATATCAATATTAAATAATAAATGCTGTTTACAAAATAGATTACCAATAATGTTAATCAGTGGGCTTGATGTGACTTGTTTATATGTGAGGAACAATAAATACACATTAACATTGTAAAAGTGTGAGCAACCAGCAGAAAACTTAGCTAACATTAGTTAAGTTACTGTGCTAGCGTTAGCATAGGTTGTTAGCAAACTACTAACTTTATCTGGGCCTAGCTAGCATTAGCTGAACATTGTCTGAGGTAGAAAGCTACTTACCAATCAAGAATAACAGTGTCAGCATGGTCTAAGTGAAATGCCAGCTGTCAAACCGATACCACATTCACACTGCAATGCTATTTCATGTTGTTCATGCTAAAAAAAACCAGCTCCCGCGTGTGCAGGAATTGACTACTTAGCCAGAGCAAGAAGGCCCAATCAACGCCAGCTGATTGATCACTTGGGAATAGCAAAAGCGGAAAGAATAAAGAAAAATAAATGCATTAAAAATAAATAAAAGACATATATAAACATTACATTTTAAAATAAACAGAAAAAGAGTCATATATGCAAAAAAATATATACATTTTCAAAATAAATAAAAAAATATACAGAAATAAATGAACAAATACATGTGAAATTTTTTTTTGTTATTTCTATTTCTATTTCCATATTTTTTATTTCCCTTAATATTTCCAAATTTATTTTCTTATTCTTTTACAGGTTTATTATTTTTTATGGCACTCCTATGACTCCATACACTAAATTGTATTTATACACCGAACTTAACATATTATCAGACAAGGGGAGGAAAACATGCTTTAGTGAAGTTTATATGTTTGATATGGTGTACGACTAAATCTACTGTCATTGCTGTATATTGAAATTTTTATAAAATTGTTATAATTTTGGAATGTTATTCCAGGATTTATTTTGTGATTAAAAAAAGTTACTTATTTACCTTGCCCCCCTTGCCCTGCTTTGTCTGTTCACTTGAGAAGTGATTTCCTATATTTCCCACAAGGCATTCAGCTTGCTTTTACCTTCAGATTTTTAAGTTTACCTGGTGATCATGTGTACCTTTTCCTAAACTCTTCTTTTTTCCTAGAATTAGTTTTAGTTTGAAGGCCAACAATCAGAATAAACCCTGACAGGGAATGGCCGGATAGCCATTAAATTAGTTGGCAGAGTTTTTGTGGATTTGACATTCTACCAAAATGATAAACATTGGCTTTAAAGATTATATTATAATCAACAAGCCAATGTCATTTAGGGATATAATAAACTCTATACAAAATTTTAATTGCACAATGAAAGATAAGCTACGGCAATAAAGGTTAGGAATGTTTGATTGATTATCCTACCACGTTTTAATAATGTGTGCATGCAATGGCTTTAACACAAAAGCAGCAGGTTCAGCAATAGCACAAACAAACACAAATTTCTTGTGTACTAGGTAGGCTGCTGATATAGGCTTGTACTTTGCAGCACAAAGCATCGGTTCAGAATATAATATAATATATATATAATATACTATATATTACACACACAATGCAAAAAGAAAATAATAAGGTGTGTAAAAAGGCCTGATTGCAAGTAAAGTGCAGATTAACTTTCATTTTCAGGCTCAGTAATCTTTGTGACCTTAAAAAGGTACAATGTGTAAGATTTGGACAGAATTTGAGGTCATAACATAAACATTCAAATAATGAACTAATATGATCAACAGAATGTGAAGCAGTAAGCTCTGACAAAGATGTCTATGTATTGTGTTGCAGAAATATCTACTGAAGTTAGCATGCTAGCCCACTAGCCTCGGCCTGTCCTGTGTTCTAAAACCACTTGTGATCTTATTCCAACATGAGAGGACGACGACGTACTGCTGCCCCGAGAGATTGTCAATCAGTGCTGCTGCACAAGCTGCTGTCCCTCTCTCTCTCCCACTCCCTTGTGCTGCCTGACCTAAACTTTTTTGTCACCTGCCACCACTTGAACATCCCTGTCTCTGACTGGGCAGGCTGGGTGTAAAATTGTCATTGTCCTGGAACACAGGAGGCGGAACGGCCGCGAGTCCCTGCTTCCTGTCGACGCTCATGTTAACCTATTGGTCTCCTATCAAAAAAATTACACTTGCAACACCTGTGCTTTTAGGAGTTTAAAAGTTTCAAGGTGGATTTTTCCTTTAATCAGTATTTTAAGTTATGCATGTATTGATGATCAATAGCTCAACCTTCAAACAAGAAGTTGTGCAAGCAATCAGAACTTGATCAGCTGTTACTTTGCACTACAACAGCATATTAGGGGCATTGTAAATAAGTGGCATTCGTGTTATTAAAGTGTGGTATGGCAATGTTAATAACACAGGATAAAGTTCCAGGCAGGGGAGTTGGGGATGGACGCGGCCTTCAGGAGGCTACATTAAATTCGGTGTCAACGAACACTACAAAACGTAAAAGTCAAAACTTAAGGCTAAAATTACTAATTTTGGTTCATGAAGTCAACTTTCTCTCATTAGGAAAACACACAATGACTGTGATGTATGCAACAGGGTATAAATCATGATCCCTTAAATATAATATACATAAAATTTATTTAACTTCATTCATCAGTGTATTATCACATTTGTCTGTGTCGGTTCTCTCCTTCTCCGTGGCTGCCTGCGGCTACACCTCATCTGTCCTTGCATCTGTAACTTCTACTGTCTTCATCTACACTAGAAAAGTGTAGATGGGAATATTAGGGAATGATAGGGAATGTTTCACAACAAGTTTTATTATATAACTATTACTAATCAAAACTCAGGTTTAGTCCAATATATGTTATAGGTTGGGATTCGGAACAACGGCTAGTATTTTGGGACTCTCACAATTTTTTCGGGATGTTTGGTCACCCTATTAACAGCAACACTCACATCTTCACTACTTTCACCAACAAGTATTAAAATATACTTCCTTATGACCAAAAGCAAAACAATTGGAGAAGATATTTATAAATGATAAAACAAGAAATTCCCCATGCACAGTAACAACAGTCAGTGCTGTTAGGTCACAGAATTTAGCAACACTGAAATGAGTTTACTATATGTAGTAAACTCATGTCGGGGGGGGGATGTTTTTGATTTTTCATATTAATAAATGACTAAGATGTGACATGCTGTTAGTTGCTTTGTTGCAGTCCTTCATATCTGCTTATCTGTCTGAAAGCTCCACCTCTTCTCTTCTGTCTACACTGACTCTTGTCTTGTATTATAAATGACTGGGGGGAAAAACTACTACACTAGTTCACAAGTTTCTTTTCAGTTAATTTATGTCTTTTTTCTAGGAATGTCTTTTTTCCTTAATTATTATTAATTTTATCTACAATGGCCCTAATACGCCGTCATATTGCACTCTTGATTGTGTTTTAGTTATCTGTTCTCTTCACAGATAACGTATCAGTCTCCCTGTCCTTGTAGGGCCTACAGTAAACTGCATGTAGCCTACATTCACTATCTGTTTGGAGAGGAGAGTGTGTTCTCTGCACCCAAACTGATTCAACTGTCGACGGAGTGTCCAAACCATGGAAACATCAAACAGCCTGAAGGCATTCTGAGTGTGTTATGGTATACAGTATCTGCTGCAGCCATTGCATAAGATATGTATAAATGTGTCCAGGTCATGTATCTAGTATCCTGTCCTCCAATCAAGGTTGCAATGTCAAATCCCTCATGCATTGAAGGCGAAATGCCATCAGGCGAAATGCCATCAGATATCAGATTTCCCTGAACGTCATAAAGGTTTCTCTATACAATGAAAGGATGCCTACATCTTCTGTTTAACAATTTCTTTCGTTGCACTTTTGTGTGACACTAGTTTTGACTGTGCACGAGGTTGAGGTTGTCACACAAACCACACCAAAAGCTTCCCTGCTTACTCTAAATGAATGGAGGTCACATGGGAAACAAAAAGCAGGACTCAGCTTGGATTTAACATCCTGGAACTATGATTCCAGTGTTATCAGGACAAATGTCAAATGGCCTTTAAATCACTCGACTGATGCTATTCTGCCTGATTTTTTTTTCTTAATTTTTAATATCTGCCTTCTCCCCACCCCATTTTGTGTTTTGGACTTTGACTTGAGGATATCACCATTACTGGAATAACAGATTTAGATTTTTCAATGTGAGGCAGTTAATTCAAACTCTAGCTAGTGTTTTCTTCTGCATCAGAAAGGGCAACATTTGGGTGATGCAGTGTCACTTTGACACTGTTTAGTGTCACTTTAGTTTACACTCATATCTGAGGTTCATCTCCAAGGCTGGGATCCTTGCAAAGCAATTACATGGCTGTTCATGTCTTGACGCTTAAAATTTTGAATATATTCAAACCTTCAATTACCTTTAAGGAGTTTGTTAACACCCCACCCTGTGTAGTTTGCCTGTATAGAGGGGGTTCGTCAAGCAAGTAAATAAAGTAGCTGACATTTAAATCAGATGAGATCTGAGATCACTATTGGAAAGCATCGATTTCACCTTCTTGGCAGTCAGAGCACATGTTGTAACTCGTGGGCTTCGTTACCGTACCACTTGTTCCTGAAGTGCACCTACTCCATAAGCATTTATTCCTACTTATATTAAGCATCAGTAGCTGTTTGTAGGCTCTTCTGCACACAGGTGTGCCCTTTTTCAGTTAAGTAACAGTCAAGTAACTCTGCGTAGAGTGAAAGCATTCCTGTAAGCCTTGTTGAAGTCACTTACTTCTTGCTGCTGCTCATCTCTTCAGGTTGCGTGTGATAAATCTCCTTACTGAATGTGTTAAGCAGAGCGGATCACCGGAGCGGCTGCTGATGTTTAACCTGACAATGTAACACATGGGGAGGTCATTTCTCTGCTCCCTGTGGACTCAATGAACACTCACAGTCTTTCACAACTAAAGCACTTGACTTGAAGGATATTACACAGCACAGGTATCATAGTAAGCCGTATTATGGGCCTGCTGTTGGTCCAAAAACTAATGATTGATTTGATTTTTTTTTTAAACATATTGCACCAAAATATCATCACAGGAGCACCATAGGCACACTTGGGGAAAAAAAGGAAAAATACAGCAAAGATCACGCTGACACTCTCTTTTGCACCATTGCAAGAAGTGTAGCAACCCAGTGATACATTTCAGGACCCTTTACTGACCAACAGCAGACGTTATAATGATGAATCATGTTGTAGCTGCTTTGTCTCCAAAACTCTAATAGTAAACAGCACAGGCGTTTCAAATATCATCATAAATCATGCTAACTTGTCCAACGAACTGCTTGACCAAAACAAAACACACTCCAGCTGCGTTTCACTAAAACTTTAGACCACACAGGTAGCGTGACAAGGTCGCTAAAGTCCTGAAGGCATCAGTGACACGCTAGACAAATTATTAACTGGAATATTATGGTGGGTTATATTCAAGACGCCTCTTCACACCACATGGCCTGAAAATATTAGTTTCACTTGTCAACAACTTCGAGGTGGAACAAGCGTAAAGGACTTACCGCTGCTTTTCTGATCTTTGGCTGCGGTGGCATGAAGGTAAAGAAGTCTACTTCCACTGCGCGGGTGAGTTTGTATATGGCATTGTGTGGCGGCTGCGCTCAGCATGCTGCCGCCTCTATCAGCTGGACCATCCTTCTGTCAACGCCACTCCTCCGGTGGGAGGTCAAACTGCTCCGCTGCTGCATCATCATAGCCCTCCACACCCTCCGCTCCAGTTCATCATGAAGTCAGCAATCTTTGGACGTTATTAAAGTATTGGTAGTTTTGTAAAGTTTTAAAAAACTGCAGGTTGATAAAATAATAATGAAACGTGCATTCAATAATATACATACATTTCTCCTAATTAAATAAAGAGATAAAGAGGTCTTAAATTCTTTATAAACAAAACTGAAACTTAATATACCCCTGATATATGGAAACACAGTTGAATAAATTCTTTCTGTAAGCATCTCTGCTGGTACTTGCACCAGTAAAAATGTAAAAGGTAGCCTATGTGTGGCACTGGTAAAATGGCGTGTGAAATCCCAAATTTTACAGATAGACATACAGCATCCCAAACCAGTATATTTCCTCAGGGATACAGCAGGTGTAGCTGGCCAATAGAGATGAACCATCCCACAAATGTTTTTTAATTTTTTTATTATTGTCATCATCGCTGATATTTTTTTAAATCTTTTATTAAATTAAACACATTTTCAAGGCAGTTTATCCTGCCTCTGAATATCCAAGTCCAATCAGCCGCAGCATCGTGTTCCATGAAGTAGCCTACTTACCATTTCCGGCAATTACAGTCTGGTTGAAAATCGCCCAGATCGCTCTGATAAACTGTCATGTTAAGATAGTTTCTTTCTAACTGCAGGCACTGTTGGAAACTATTTCTTCTGATTTATACAACATCACATGAGGCAGCGCCACGTGCACGTTCAGGAGCAACATGGCTAATGTTACCTCAACTCCGGAGAGCAACAAGATCCTGTCATTAAGAGAAATAGGCCTGCTGTTCAGTTGTTGTAGTAATCAGGAAAAATTCATTGGCAACTAAAGAAAGGCTTTCCTAAATCATTCTGCCAGAAAGGCTTCAGGGGAGTCAGTGTAACGTTCCTGCAGGGTGGGTGGGACAGACACAGGACTTTCATATTGGAGGTGTGGGTTTGGTTCCTGTGTAATTAATGTTGACTTATTGTTTTAATCCATCAATGATTTTCCCCTAACCCTTTACCAAAGAATTCTTTGGTTACCAAAGAATTCTTTGGTACCAAAAGCTTTCTAACATGAAAATGTAAAATGTTTCAAACATGTAGTATTAAAAGTTTGATAAGGTTTAGGCACCAAAGAATTCTTGGCTAGGCTTTGCTTAACTACAGGTGCCATACCTTAGTAGGCTACCTATGCTTAGTATGCTACATGATTGATTGAGTTTTGGTATTGCACCCCAGGAAAATGCGCATGCCGCCACGTACTGCTCTTCAGGGATATTCGTCCCGCATCTCTCTGTAATGTATGCAGGATTACTGCAGTGTCTTCACAGAAGAGACACTTGCTGGGATTGTTTATTTTTTTTCAGCTACAAACGATGTATTTTAAATCTACAGCGCCATCTGTTGGAGGCACGTGGTAAATTTAGCTGTCATTACCTTCATTACATAAATTATACACCCATAGCGCCCTGTTATGTCATGCTCACTTTAATTGGTGTAATGGCAAACAGTTGAAACAGGTTATTTAGGATGGATGGGTAGGAGGCAATTAATTGTCTATTTTTGGTCCAGAACCTCTTGGGTCAAAGGTTTATTCAAGTGTAACTAACTCCCCCATGCCTCTTTCGGATTATCCATCAATAACAGGTTTAAAATGGTTTCAAAAGAGCACACATTTACTCAAGTCCTTAAGTTGAAGTTACCCTACTGCAAAACAGGAAAATCCATCAGGTGACAGTTACCACGTTTCAACATATATAAGCATGTCAGGGCTAAGTCAGGGCAAATGAACAAAGAACATAGATTAATGGTTGTCACGGGTTTCTTTTCCTTCACAAGTAAGGGAATTAGCCTACCAGGGAAAGTTAAAGGATTACTTTACTTGGAAATAAAAAAAGCAAACATTAAACCTGATAATCTCCTCTTGCTTTTCCCACCAGTTTCAGCTTTTAGTTAATGACTTGAGCTCAAACCAATTTGCTGATATCTGAATAGTTTACCTTAAGTGTTACAGGCCACAGCATAGACAACCTGTTAGTCAGAAAAATAGGTGTAGGCCTACTGCTTTTTATAAAGTAGTTAATGTCATTCATAAAATAACATTAGCTCTGTTTTTACGTGATAGATTAAAAAAAAGTTTTTTGCGGATTTCCCAACACTATTGGCTGCCTGAAGTAAAATAAAATAAAGTGAGCTAGTTACTGACAACTTTTACAGAGTTGCTTCAGACAGTTATTGGTAATATTTATCACAATTTTGGCAAAATTTCATGGCGGTTTTAATGGTTCGAGCATGCCTAACTCAGCAACACTATTCTCTCTCGTATCCATCAAGATCTTCTTTTACACAGTCTATGATGAAGATGCATTTTCAGAGGGAAACTTAATGGGAGCAACAAAGAATGAGACCCTGAACATGAGGTTGAAATGAATCAAAAGATAAGGGGACATCTTTAAGCTGGGTTATTGTCGTTTACTCTCTTTGGTTTCATCACTATGAACAACCCCTTTTTCATTAGGCCTATGGCAAATGGTATGTATTAGGTCTTGGCTCTAATAATAGCCCATGATTGTTTATTGATTTTTGGTGGAGTAATAATTTAATTTCAGTTCAGTTTTATTTATATGGTGCCAATTCATAACAAAATTCATTTTTGACTTTTCTGTGACACACAGCCCACAGCTCCAGACTCCAGAAAGAGATAAGAGATAGGAGGACAAGCACAAGACTACTGAAGAGGGAAGAAGTGGAGTTAGTAACATGCATTAATGGGATAAGGTTGCATGCATCAGTGCATCAGACCTGCAGTCTAGGCAGCAAAACTAAGGGATGGTTGAGGACTCACCTGAGCCAGCCCTGCCTGTAAGTTTATCAAACACCTGGAACACAGCTCATTGTATTGAACTCATTTTACTTTTTTTGCATACTTTCCCATATCTACCCATTAATATTGGAAAAATGATCGTATTCATATCAGGATATTGGTTTCACCCATGTCGTGCTGTTTAGGTTTGTAAATGTTTAACTTACTCACTTGAAGAAAGGTGTGCAATGATGCCATCAATGTTCAATCGTTCAAAAGCAAGAAATCTTGTCTTTATTATATAACACTCAGACTCAGCATTTTTCATTATCTGTCCACACACTAACCTTGGTTGCTGTTTAACATTCTTACAGTCATTATTCTAACCCTGCACTCAGCTCACATTCCTCGAACTTTGACTGGATTACATAGGCCTACAGTAACTGGAGATTGACATTTAACTCGTATGAAAGTCAAGTTTAAACATTAGTTGCTTGGGATGTTAAATGTTTCACGTGTCATCTACGCTCCGATACCTGATACTGTTTGAAAAGTTAGGGCTTATTGCCAAAACACGCTGTGACTTCTGCTGTCAGGTGACTATCATCTGAGCGACATCGTCTGTCTGCACCACCTAAACTGAGACTGGTTATTTTTGTAAAGGATTTTTAAAAGTCCTGTATATCAAAAGTATTTTACATGTGTACTTTAAAACACATTATGTAAGATTGGTACGTATGTCTGAAAGGAGATTCACCAAAAAGTTATTTGATTAAGCCATTTCACATGGATACTGCTTGGCAACCCTTATTTTCTATTAATAATTGACACATTGGCGTACATTGTTCGTTATTTATAAATATATAAAGATATTTATCCATAATAAAAAAAATGACATTGTAAACATTTCAGGGAAAAATATATTATGTAATTTTCACTTACGCAGAATTTGAGCACTAATCAAATTTAAAATAAATTTTCTATTGATAATTATAAAAGAAAGACAATGCTCATGATGTGCTTACTTATACAATAATACAATAACACAATAATACAGTAATAAAATCAAACACAGGCTACAGTATAGAGAACACAGAAATACACACTATAAACAAAACAGACAGATTGAAACAATAGTGCAATGAGCAGAGTGCAAAGGATGCAGGAGTAAATTATTATTACCATTATTGTTGTTATTATTATGTACATGTCGGAGGTGGATGTGATATACAGGTGCACATACACATACAAGTATACACGTACACAGTGTGATGGAGCATGGTGCAGAGGACACTGGAATAAATAAGTATTATGTGCGGTGTTATGTACATGAGGTAGGTGGATTTGGTATACAGTATAATATACAATATGACAATATACAGTATGAACGGCTCTGAAATAGAGAATGATGAATAAATAATAGGTGGTAGCCAGTGAACAGGTGGCTGATTAGAGACAGAGTTACTGGGTTATTGCACAGGAATTGTTCCTCACACTGTGAGTCGGCTGTTCATCAGTTCAGGCTGTATGCCAAATCATTTGGGGAAATTAATTCATAACCATGATTTTGTAATGGCTTTGAATGGTTATTTCAAGATAAATACTTTCATCTGAACATGCCATAGTCAAAAGTAAGAGATTGCTGTCTTGCTTTTACCTTCACAACTTGAATCTTCCTCAAGTTGAAATTTGTTCTCAAAACAATGTTTTATGTTTTTATTCATAACACAAAATACTTTTAAAGGTTAACATCGTCAACATTTCTCAAACAAATTGGTGTGAAAAGGGATTGTCCCTCATACATGAATGTATAATGCAAAACAGCTGCTGTTTTACACATTTTTAACCCAAAGCATGTCAGCATTTCCATGTTTGGGCCCATGTACGGCAACTTTTATTTGTGGGGGGAAAAGGCAACAAAGTTGAGAGGAACAGGAAGACAGAAGTTGGTTTATAGTTCCCCAGATTTGTATTGTAACATATGTAACATAAAGTATTTGACTTGATTTTTTCCTTTAAAAGAGGATTTGAGATGCATTTGCTTTGCTTGTTGGCCCTTTGTAGTTTGAAATGAGTATGTTGTGACAATGCTGCTGTTTAAATCCCATCTTTCCACAGGGTTTTATTTTGTGCCAGCTCATGCCTTTGATGTAATATTATTCCATTTTAGTTGCAAAGAAACTGTTGAGCTAGACAAGGTACATTTACACTGATCTTTTCAAAATGTCCCTGATTTAACCCTGAATTCGGTAAGTGAGCCTCGTTACACAACAACTTTTGAAAGAACATTCTAGAGATGATGTGAAAAATAACTACCAAAAACCCCTGGAATAAAGCCAACCAGGAGGCCAGAAATCTGGCAAAGGAAATGGAGACAGATTGTGCAAAAGCAGGGCATAAACACATGTGACAAGACACGTGCTGAAAGGGAAAACAATGAAAGGAAAACCGAAAACAATCTAATAATTCCATGAATTTCAGTACATGGTCTGGAACTGCCTTGAAAAACCATCATGCAACTTGATACTTGGTACTGTTTGACAGGGAATTATAATCAGGTCATGAAAATTACAATTGTCCTGATCGGTTATAAATGTATATTGTTTAGACTAGTGAGAAAAGGGCAGCATGCTTTAATTTGCTGGGCAGATGTTCTCATACAGATGTGAGGTTTCTAGTGTAGTAACCATCAGTTCAGTAAGTTATGCGGCAGAGGCCTGTGAGGGGAAACAGAAATGCCTCTTCCCTCATGCTTCTTATCAGGCCCACCTTTGACTGACTGCTTTAAAAACACATGGGGTACTTATTTTCAGGCCACATGTTTCAGGAATAATATTTTTTAAATTCATATTGATGCTAATTTCTGCAAATAAAAGCTTCTCGGATCCTATAGAACATAACATAAGAATACCAAAGTAACAAATTAAGAATTACTTTATTGTGTGTTGGTTAGCTTGTGCTAGCAGCTCTGTGAGACTGTATTTAGGCACAGCAGCGTTTTCACTTAAAAGCAAACATCAGCTTGCTAATGAGCTTACAATGAATGCTATCATGTTGACGTTTAGCAGGTATTAGGTTTACCATCTTAGTTTAGCATGTTAGCACGCTAACAGTGCAACACTAAACTCAAAGTACAGCTGAGGCTGATGGGAATGTCATTCATTTAGCATATTATACATTAGTTAGGCCTATTAGACAAATGATTATTGTTTACCCGATGAAAAAGTAAGGGAATCACTAAAATTGAGGAAGCCAAGTTTCATGGCAGTCCAGCCAATAGTTAATCTGTGTCAAAGGAAAGCCACATCCAGATGTGAACTGCTGGTTTCTGTCCCTTAAGGTGCACTCTTCCTGTTAATTTTTACTTTTATATCATTGCTCTCAAAAGATTATATCATGACAAAAGTGTTTTATAGTGGTTAATGTGGCTCAGTGGTTGGATTAAGTGGGCTTTAATGGAAAGTATGTCCGATGTCATGCTGATTAACACTGGAAACACTGGGGCCAGAATCAGATAATACAAAACCTTAAATGGCATATCTTATTCTGTAAGAGCTAAATAAAGCTACTCTCTCCATTAAAAAAAAAAAAAAACATTTGGAAACACATTGGAAACAAGTTTCATGTCTTTGTATATCATTTCAGGTCTTAAATATTAAAAATGTCACACTTGGGAGGTGCAGCTGGTCAGAATAAAGGAATGAAGTGAAATGTCAGTGGAGAAAGAAAGCACTGACTTCAGACTCTGTTATCTTCTGCCGTGTTCTTATTATTGACTGAATAGAAGTCCTCCATCTCCTCCTATTGTCCATTTTGGGTATTACATGTGAGATGGAGCCCCCTTTTTTGTTTTTCAAGCTTATAAATAACCATTAACTTTAAACCGAATTGAAACCTTATTCAATTCTGCATTGCTGTATGATTTAATTCGTTTGTTTAGATTTTAACTTGGTATCTAAACTGAATTTAATCACCGTAGTGACCATAAACATTGGGTTTACATCTTTTACACCTTTTCTTCTCAATCCACGTGTTATATATAAGTAGGCCTTTCTACAAACATGTAAACAATAATCTTGCTGTTGTCCTTTTTGTGAACTGTACCTTTTATTGTTTTCCAGCAAGCTGCGCTGTTTCGTAATGTTTAACACAGGAGTGTAAAAATCGTTAATCAGAGAGTCTAAGAAACAGAGAGGTCCAAGAGCTCCGGCGTATATCGCAATGAATCATGGGAGGATCCAAAGGCTTAGCTCCTTTCATGTATCTCCCACTGGTGACTCATCTCTGTTCTCGTGTATTATCTCTGGTCATGTGAACGGATTGCTGGACCGCTGACACAGCGCTCAAAGTCTCGCGAAATTAACAACAGATTTAACCAAAATGCTAGCTTTGCCTAGCTATTTCCGGGTCAGGAGGAGGCTGTGGAGGACGGGACGAAAGGCGGATAGATTTTTGTAGAGATTTTGGAGCGAAGTGACTGGTCTATCGATTGTTATGCTAACCACGGCGGTGCATGGCCGCAGTAGCTAACCGCCCCCCCCAGCTAGCTGACCGCTGTCTACGCTGCGGAGTGACCCGTGACCCACTCTCCGGTCACATGAAGTGAATTTGGACGTAGGATGGCGGAGCGGGATACACTGCAGTCGTCTTCAGAGGTTTCAGAAAGTTCTGGGAGACGTAACGTTAATTCCTCAGATGAAAATGGACACGTTGACAGTCCAGATGAGACCCTCTCCCCGACTTCGGTTATATACTTCAAGGAGGCTTTAAACTCGTCTAACCTGAGGTTTGGGAGTGCAGGGTCGCTGTCCCCCACCCTGCCTCGACAATATGACTTCAGGATTGAAAGAATCGAGTCAAAGCGCAGAAGTAAGTGCTAACAAAGTTTGAAAAGATGGTTAGCCGCGTAGCTAACGTTACCCTCCTTAATAACCTAATTTACTAAGATGAACGTTACCTGCAGTTCGTGTTGCTAGCTTGTTAGTGTCGTTAGCTAACTTTCTTCTGTCCCTAAACTGACAGCTTTTTACCCCTTTAAAGACACAAGAAAACTGGAAACAGCCAACTTAGCTATTGTAGGAATAATATAAATAACAAACTCTCTTGACAAATGATTGTCATCCTTAAATTTACTTGCGACAAACAACAAAACACCTGTTTTCTGAAGTAAATGGCCTAGGTGGCGTATCGGTCAGTTAACACAGCTCATGTCACCAAGGTGTGTAAACATCTGCCCTGTGAGCAAATCTCCTGCTGGAGTCATGTGTTGTTTTGACAGACTTGGTTGATTGCTTTGCAAAATATTATGGTGGATTGGAGTCATCTGTTGTTCACATCAAAGCTGTCAGAGATAAATCTGAGATGTTTCACCCACGTTTCCACATTACCTTACCAAACATTTGCAGTTATGACAGTTGTTCACTGATGTAACTGAACAGATAATACATGAAAACTAGTTACTTGGAAGTTTCCTCTGTGACATTTTCAGAACATTGTTTATGTCTTAAACGATATGTCATATATCAGGAGTAAAAGCGAAGTAACCACACACTAATGTGTAAGGAGCTCAATAATGGTTGTGCCCCGCTTTATCTGTGCTGTTTCTGTAAACTAATAATTGTCTGGGATTGGGTTCAAACTAGGGTTGTCTCTTCTTAGTGGACTGGTCGACTAAGACTTTTTACAGGGAATTAGTTTGGTACTGAAATGAGTTGGTCGCAATGAAATTAATAGCTCATAACTACTTATTTAAGTCATGTATCAAGCAAAAATGCTGAAAATGCTGAACAGTTGTTGGTTTTGGCTCTTTAAATGTGAGGATTTGCTGCTTTTCTTAGTTATATGTAATTGTAAATTCAATATCTTTGGTTTGGGGTGGGGAAATGATGGTGGGCACTATTTTGAACATATTTAAAAATAAAATAATATGAGATCAATGTAAGGCGGTGACGTGCTGCCTAGCTTAAACCAGAGAAGTTGCCATTACATGGTCAGTGTCTTGGCCACAGGGACACCCGTGCACTGGTCTTCCTTTTGCATTAATCTGTGACAGAACAATAATTCCAACACAACAACTTGACCTACAGCAATTCTTTAATTAAATTAGTTGAAGAAATCCTATGATTCTCTCTTTAGGTATGGTGATTCCTATTAACGCCTTTTATACAGCACTTTTCAAACATTTATGGAAAGTGGACTGCAAGCAACCAGACACATAAAAAATGACTGATCTTAAATATTGGCCTTTCCTGGTTTTTAAGGCTGCTTAGCAGTCATAGCGAATGTATTTTCTCAGTTAATCTGACTGTTGTAGCAGCGCAAAATGCTCTGTCTGGTGTTTAAAAAAAGGTTTTCTTAAGTAGGAATTGAAAAAAACATGATAACTATTACATCCCGGACCTTTGGCCTTACTGCCTTATTATCCTTGTTGCTCACTGCTGTTGGTGTGTGGCTTTCCTGCTGTAGCCAGCTCAGTAATTGCATTGTCAAATCACAGGCCCCTGCTTCAGGTCAGGGGACGCTGGTAATGCTTGAGAGACAGATGAGTCCTCTGCTGCATCATTAGCATTGGCTGGGTACTCTGGGGACCCCCCCCCCCCCCCCCTTTTTTTTTACGCATGCACCATCTGCTCACGTGATAGTGTGTTGCTGTACCCAGCACTACCGTCAGCCATCTTGGTCAACACCCACCCAGTGCATTCACTGCGGTGCACAGGCAGTCCAATCACAGTGAACCGATGCGAAGCTGACCGGAGAAGGGCTGTGATTTTCAGCACGGTGCTCTCTTGCATTTTAAATCCCCGGCCTGCACAAAAGGGATAACAAGAGGTCGAAAAGGAGGAGGAGGCTGAGGGGGAGAGGGCAGGGTAGCCTTTCTCAAGACAGCAGCGAATTTCACTCAGTTATAACAAGGAAGGGGAGGATGATGCAGGCATAAAGAGGAGGAGAAGCAGCACCCTTTCAAACACCGGCTGAAAGCTGCTGTGGGCCTTCCCCGTCTTGGCCTTTTATCCTCTTTGTTTTTCATCCTCTCTAATTTCCTCTCCTCTCTGACCTGTTATTTTTTTTGGGGGGGGGGCTTCACTGGTTCCTGGAACAAAAGCTACTGCGCCTTTTTCCCTCGGTGGTGTTGGTTTTGCCTTGCATCAGCTGAGTCATCATGTCTGATCTGACGCCTCAGAGCGAAACCCCGACTCCCACCACCGACAAGATCACCCAGGCTGCCCGGGAGACCATTTATCTCTGCAACTTCCGCGTGTCTGTCGATGGCGAGTGGCTTTGCCTCCGCGAGCTCAACGACATCTCCCTCACCCCAGACCCAGAGCCGGCCCATGAAGGTAATGTGACAGATTAGCTCAGCATCCGAGGAGGTTTGTGGGCACAGTGTGATCTCTTTTAGGGCGTGGTGATTCACAAGGTCCCCAGACACTACACGTTTCATCTAGTGAACTGTGCTAATGTGTCCTGTTTGAGCTGTGTCATGATGGAGTTATGGGGAAATAAGCCGCGGCCGGGCACCAAAACAACCAGGAAGTGCCGGTTGATTTGTTGTGAGAATGTATTCGCTTGCAGTAAATCAAAAAAGGATTTGATAGATTTGCTGTCTGTTTTCCCTGTGTTCCCTATACAAAATTTACACAGCAGAAATAGGTTTGTATTTGTATGTTTTCATACTCTCACTGAGATGTAACAAGAGAGGACACAGCTGAGTTCAGGTGTTTTTAGCTTTGGCAGTGAATAGGCAACACGCTATCTGTTGAACACGAAGGCTTTCCTCTTCCTCATCTCTTGCCACTTTGAGTTCTCTGAGTACAGATAAGGCAGATCGGCAGGTCCACGGTTTTCTTGAGGAAGGGAGGCAGCTCAGATTTTCCTCCAGCCAGCTGGCAAGCTCAACGCTGCAGCACTTTGTCTACTGTAATTATATTACATATTAACATATTGTTTTACTACTATAAGATAAAATTTCTCACCACCAGTTCTGAGTTAGATGACAGTGGATGGTGTTTAGTGCCAGTTTCTTGCAGTTTGTCTTGGTTTAGCAGGGGAATTCTTGTATGTTTCCGTGGAAGAAGCTGACTGTCTTTACTTACGTGTGTTTCTGCTTTAAAGGGGGAAACTCGTTTCCTTCAGTCATCAGAGTTTTAAAGAAATGCAGAAATGTTGGCCAGAAGGTTTTAATCAGTTGTTCATTACAATTACCGTTTGATGAGGAAAGCTTTTCCTTTTTAAAATCCTGATGAAGAATTACACAATTGTAGCTATAACACATCCAAATTATTGCTCTAACATCCTTTTGATTTCAATAATTTTGTGCTATAAATCAAAATGTTCATGCTCTATAACTACAGTCCATGCAAATACAAACTACAGACCAAATTTATGAATGTATTGATAATGTAAACAAGCGCTAAAGGAAAGCTTAACTCTATAGGACTCCTCTACTAAAAGCCTCTTAGTGTCTGTTAACTACTTAAATAAATAATTGATTAGGCATACTGTAGATGTATGGATCACACCGAGAATTAAGTGCTTTATATGGTTTGGCAGATGTTCCTTGTTGAACCATTTTCTCTTTACCTAAGCTATCCATTCTTTTGGGTTTATATTAAAATGTATATTTCATTTCCTGGAAAACACTGGATCTTGTGTTATTAAAGGAAATATGCTTCCCCCACCCCGGCCATAGTCTGTGTCATTCCTATGAGGACTATAAGGATCTTTTCCTGTGTGTTTCTCTTTTTAGATCCCAAGGATCCCATTGCAATCGAAAGGCTTAACTTGATGAACATGGCCAAACTGAGCATCAAGGGCCTGATCGAGTCTGCTCTCAACCTGGGGCGCACGCTTGACTCTGACTATGCACCTCTCCAGCAGTTCTTTGTTGTGATGGAGCACTGTCTGAAACATGGGTTGAAAAGTATGTAATGGCACACGTCGTACTGTCATCTGTTCAAAACTGCGTGATTAGTGGCTGTAAAGTTTGAAAATGGCCTCGGCAACTGGCCTATAGGAACAGTTTGTGTAGTTTATTCCCAGAACACACATAAAATCTACAGTTTGTGTAGTTGTGAGGAATGTTTACAATTTTATTCCCCACCTGCTAAGACTGTCCATCAGCCACAGGGATGTACGAGTGATTAAAATGACAAATCTGCTGATTAAATGTTCTTTATTTACTGAGGTTAGTGTATTTATTTTTAGTCGTTTGTGTTTGCTATTGTTAAAAGATTATTCCCGGGCGGTTTCTGTTGCTCTTTATTATGCCTACTATGATAACGCAATTCCTCAAAAATGTAATAACTCAACAAGCACTGTCTCTCAATCATCAGCCAAGAAGACCTTCCTAGGGCAGAACAAGTCATTTTGGGGTGCGTTGGAGCTGGTGGAGAAGCTGACGCCTGAGGCAGGAGAGATCACTGCCAGTGTGAAAGACCTGCCTGGCCTCAAGTGAGTCTATTATATCACTTCCCTAAAGAAGGCCGACAGATTTGTCCCTTAAGATATCGTTGGTTTTCTCAATACTTGGTCATGGCTTTACAATGCCCTGACAAGATGTAATGTTAAGGGAATTACTCCTTTTGGCAGAAGTTAAATGCTGCCATTTGGAGCTGCAAGTTGCCATTGTTGAGTAAAGATTGCAAGGAGTATTTTTTTTATGTATTGTATTTCACTTGTTTAGTTTCAGGTGTATTTATACCCACCTCTCCTTTGTTCGATTACAGAACTCCCCTAGGAAGAGGGCGTGCCTGGTTACGACTGGCCTTGATGCAGAAGAAACTGTCTGACTACATGAAGACCATCATCAACAGAAAGGACCTGCTTAGGTGTGTTTGTATCGTACTGAGTTGAGGCCCACGGCTTCTGGAATAAAACATTTGTCATTGTTGTTACGTCTTGATTGTAGGTTTTATTTTACCCCAGAAGTATTTCAGCACATAATGCACGTTTAGAAATGCTTAAACAAAAAGCAGTTTTCCGGTCAGTGACTGGATTTCTAACTCTCGTCTCTTCTCTGTAGTGAATTCTATGAGCCGAATGCGTTGATGATGGAGGAGGAGGGTGCCGTCATCGCCGGGCTGCTTGTTGGACTAAATGTCATCGATGCCAATCTGTGTATGAAGGGAGAGGACTTGGACTCTCAGGTAGTTCTGCTTTCACTTCCACTTCTACCACCGCTCAGAGCAGCAGTAACACATGAAAGACCAAACTGGAAAGCACCTAATCTCTGACTAGTGGTTGCAGGAAGAAGAATTCCCACTTCCTTGTTCTTACACAATGCTGCGTTCATTTTTTTGTGTAGATTAAACTGTCAGATCTGTCTCTGAAATAACTGACGGTACCGCATGATGTTGTGTAAATAGATATGAGCACCAGTAAGCGAGACAGTGGACAGGAGTTAAATCACTTAGATTTAGCTTTAAATCTGAACACACGACCTGTGTACCATAAGTCCATCTTTGTTTACATTAAAATGTTCTACTGTTGTTGTGTTTACCCTCATCATTGTTCCTGCAGCAATTCCATAGACAGTCAGTAGCCTTTCCAGAACTGCTCAGGAATCTCTGTTTCATGCTCAACTGGTCAACCATTTGGGAACGAGGCCAGAATGACTGGGAGGATTGGCAGGCTGCCAGTATGTCATCAGCTTAGTAAACAAGTGTCATTCTACAATGAAGTGAAACCTCTCCTGTCACAGGCCTCTTGTTAATTGGAGGATGTACTGCCTGCCAAGGTTTTTAGATAACCTGAATGCAAAACGTTTTTGGATTAAAATGCAAGTGTGCGAGGATCTTACTTTTGCATTTTTTTTTTCTTTTTGGACATAAGAGCTACAGTGCAGTTTTCACTTGTTTCACAACTGATTTCCTCTTTCTTCTTAAATTACTTCTGCAGGTCGGGGTGATTGATTTTTCAATGTACCTCAAAGATGGCGGACACAGTAGTAAGAGCGCCGAGGGGTGAGTGCTGCCTTTCTAATCATAAAACCACTGGGAATTTTGTGTCAGTCCATTTTAGGATCTCAAACAATATAACAGTAAAACCACAGTAAAGTCAGCAGGTCGGGCCTTTCTTTCATGGGTTTAGTTGTTTTGTTTTGATTTGATCTTTGTAGGTGACATCTGCTCTATTTTTATAGACTGGTCATTAAGTTTAATGTTTATCTGGTCAGTTGTTTCAATAATCCGCCACTTATTTTAGTGGTTATTCGTTTGGTGTCATCAAATTTACTAATAGTCACTAAAACCTGAAGATATTCAATTTGTGAAGATACCGAAAAGCAAAGCGTTCTCCCATGTCAGAGGCTGGGACCGTCAGATGTTTGGCATTTTTGCTAGAAAACTGACTTAAAAAATGTGTCGATTATCAAAATAGTTTCAGAGTAATTTTCTGTTCATGAAATCGTTGCAGCTCTGCTGGCATTAGACAAGCTGTTATTGGGGATTTAAAAAATGTTAAATCTAGAAACTCATTTGAGATCTATTGTACTGTATCTGCTGCGTCCTTTTGTTAGAAATAAAGAGTTAACTTTAGTTAACTTAACTTTCGGTGTAACTGTAACACCCATGTTTCGTCACTGCCCTGCTGCTAACTTTGGAAAAATAGGATCATCTTTGAGTCTGTATTTCCATTCTGATGCAGATGATTCATACATCAACTTTTCTGTCATTATGAAAGTTACAGAAAATATTAGCCATTCTTCAGTGGGCTGCAATCACTGATAAACAATTGATTATTAAAATTATTATGTATTGTAAATGGTACAGTGTCTTTTCTTCTTCTTCAGTGACGGTCAGATCACAGCGATTCTCGATCAGAAGAATTATGTGGAGGAGCTGAACAGACATTTAAGGTTCGTCAGAGTGACCGTCTCTCTGCACCGTGTCTTGCAGCTCAACAAGCTGTCGACTAATGTGATATTTCTCTCTGTTTCTGCTTACAGCGCATCAGTAAATAACCTCCAGGCCAAGGTGGATGCACTGGAGAAGTCTAACACAAAGCTAACAGAAGAGGTGAGAGCCATACAGAGCTGCACTTCAAATTGTCTTTCCTTTCTGCTTCTCTGCAAAGCTGCTGGGATTCTTCGTTTACGGAACTGTCGTTTGTCTCCACAGCTTGCAGTGGCCAATAACAGGATCATCACTTTACAAGAAGATGTGGAGAGGGTAAAGGAGGAAAGTTCATATCAGCTGGAGTCCAGAAAGGTGATCACATCATCAGTTTAATTAAATAGTTTTTTTCCTTCCTAAATTTTAGATAAATCTACAATGAACAAATACATTATGATAATCCTACACTCTACAGTATTAACTATTTAGTCATAAATGTCTTCCAAACGCTGCAAATTTAAAATCATGTGTGCACGGATGAGACAAATGATAATAATAATTAGCCAGGCCATGTGGTCCAAGGTTCAGCTTCATTGTCATTATACAGTCTCCTCCAAAAGTATAAGGCAAATTCCTTTGTTTTTGTTGTTCACTGAAGACATTTGGGTTTAAGATCAAAAGATGAGGATGAGACAAGAGTTCAGAATTTCAGCTTTTATTTCCTGGTATTCACATCTAGATGTGTTAAACAACTCATCACCAAACTGTTGCATTCTTCATTTGTGATGCAATTCCAGGCTTTTACCGCAGCTTCTTTCACTTCTTGTTTGTTTTGGGGTGTTTCTCCCTTCAGTCTCCTCTTAAAGAGGTGAAATGCAGCTCTGTTGGGTTAAAGTCAGGTGACTGACTTGTCCAGTCTGAAACCTTCCTTTTTTCCCGCTGATGAAGTCCTTTGTTTTGTTGGCAGTGTGCTTTGGCTCATTGTCCTGCTGCATGATAAACTTCCTCCCCATTAGTTTCAATGTATTTCTCCGTAAATTGGCAGACAAAATGTTTCTGTCCACTTCTGAATTCATTCTGCTGCTAACATCATCAGTTACATCGTCAATAAATATTAATGAGCCTGTTCCAGAAGCCGCCATGCACGCCCAAGCCATGACATGACCATGCTTCACAGATGAGCTTGTATGCTTCGAATCATAAGCAGTTCCTTTCTTTCTTTCTTTCTTTCTCCACACTTTGGCCTTTCCATCACTTTGCTAGAGATTCATCTTCGTCTCATCAGTCCATAAGATTTTGTTCCAGAACCTTTGCGGCTCATCTCTGTACTTCTTTGTAATCTGGCCTTCTGATTCTTCTTGCTGACGAGTGGTTTGCATCTTGTGGTGTTGCCTCTATATTTCTGCTCTCTGAGTCTTCCAACAGTGGATTGTGATACCTTCACCCTGCACTGTGGAGGTCGTTGCTGATGTCACTTACTGATGTTTTGGGGTTTTCTTCAGTTCTCACCAACCATTTCTGTCATCAGCTACTGTTGTTTTCCTTGGCCGACCTGTTCAACGTCTGTTGCACCAGTAGTTTCTTTCTTTTCAGGACATTCCAAATTATTGTGCTTGCTATGTCAAATGTTTGTCCAATGTCTCTGGTCGATTATCCTTCTTTTCTCAGCTTGACAATGGCTTGCTTTTCTACCATAGACAGCTCTCTGGTTTTCATGTTGGTTTATCCTCTTTAATAGGAAATGCAGTCTTTATAGGTTTGGACAATCAACCTAAAAGGCAACACCTGGGCAACAAGAAATATCTTGAAAAATGGGTGGGTTCAAAAAAACGGTGGTATGTCCTGAGTTGTTTAACACAGCTAGATGTGAATACTCATACTCATCTTTTGATCTTAAACCCAAATGTCTTCAGTGAACAACAAAAACAAAGGAATTTGCCTTACCGTTCCAATACTTTTGGGGGGGACTGTATAATACAGGATTGCACAATGACATTCAGTAGGAGCCTCCTGCATGCTACACACAGAAAACGTATAAACAAACTTTCAAGTATTTAACAAAAATTGGATAGAAAAATACATAAAATAGAAAAAAGTATATGAAAGTAGCACTAAAGGAATACTAAAAACTAAATGACATTTAAAATTTACAAGGTAGGTTATTCGGTCACATTAACAGAGTTGTAAAAATGAAATGTGGTTTGTAACTCCCTGCAAGTAAAAGACATACAGTTATGTGGACATCAAGGATTACTCTTCGCCTTCAGACAGTTCACTCTGTATTAAATATATAAAGTCCACTGACCATCATCAAAACAATAAAGAAAAATGTTTCTGGCTCAGTGTAACATTACATTGAATGGATATAGTTTCCTTTTGGCAACTCATGTTGTGATCATAAAATTATTGATTTAGTCATTAAGGTTAAGATGGAAAGTTTAAAGTCATCATTAATTATCAGTGGTAACAAGTACTTTATTACTGTACTTCAGTAGTTTTTTTCAGCATCTGTACTTTACTTCAGTATTTTAGTTGTTGCAACTTTTTACTTTCACTTCGCTACATTTCAAAACCAAATACCCGACTTTTTACTCTGTTACATTGTGCACGAGACCTCGTTACATTGTTATTAGTCGCCTATGCAGCGCACCTGAATGGAGCAGCATTTAAAAACAACTGTAAAACTGATAAAGCCGGCTTGGTGTGAATCAACTTCGCCCAGCTAATGCAATGTTGAGTGAAACATAACTACTACGTTTGATAAACGCCGACGGGCCACGGTGTTTATAAACTGCAGCTCGGAAAATATAATCACGTTGCAAAAATGCGTTCATATGCGCGCACGTAATAAAACTCACGCATTCCAGCATCTGAAACATCTGTGGGACCAGTCCAGACAGGATGTGAGGGCACTCGTCATACATCACTTTAAAACAAGACAGTGAAGTTAAGTTATGGACTTACAGGGGCTGTGCTGAAGTTTGTCAGTAGAGTAGATACTGGATCATCAGCCAGTACCAGCACAGTTGATCCACATCCACCCTCAGCCAGTACGAGCACATGACACAGTGACCCAGCAGACTGGCCCCCAGTCTTAACAGACTTCATAAGGACTGAGTTGGTGTGAAGAGGTCTGTTCAAACCAGCGCTGGACTTTTCTGGGTTTCTATTCAGGCTTATTAAAGAGGGAGGACTAGTGAGAGTAGAGTTTTGCAATATAAACATCTGAAAACTGAAACTAACTTTGCTCTGTTTGAGACTGTGAGCTGCACTTTATTAGAGGTGCTGAAGTTAACATGTGGGTTTTTGGTGAGATTGTGAATTGAGAAATGTTTCAGTAAGTCTCTCATTTTGTCTCATCTTAACATACCCAAAGTCAAACGGGGTTCTGTGTCTGTCAGACGGTGTGAAGGGGATACTACCACAACAGCAGAGCAATAACGCAGACTTATCCTACTTATCCTCTTGCGACTCAGTTTTCCGTATTGTGATTCACTATACTTTATAATGCTGTATTCAAACCTGCCTTGAGTGAATTTAAAAAGATAGATTGTGTTTTGTAAGATCAATAGATTTTGATGTGTAGTACTTGTACTTTTGATTAATTAAGTATTTTTAAAACTTTGGCTTGATTAGGTTTATACTAGATGACTTTTACTTTTACTTGAGTATCATTTTTCATGTGTTGTCTGTACTTTTACTTAAGTATGAAAATTAAGTACTTCTTCCACCAGTGTTAATTATCAATAGACTAGTTTCAGGCTGTATGTTGTTTCTTGATTTGTATGTATCGTTGAGCTGTCTGACAAATAGGTTCAGGGAATGATTGATATTGACTTTAGTTTCACTAAACATTAACCAAAATTTAGTGGCTTTTCATCAAATTTCAACTCCATAATTTAAAAGTAGCGTCTTTCAACTTTTATTACAATTGTATCGGGACGATATTATATTTATATATTATATTTATAATATTTAACGATGTTGTTTAAATTAATGATCAAATGTCCATAAAAGTAAAACAAACTTTTTGTTTTATACAGGTGAAGAGAGAGAAATAACAGTGGAACACTGTTCATTGCATTAAACATGTCGTTATAATTTATCCTACATATGTCATATTTTGGCATGTATGGGACTGATATTCATGTCGTGGCATTAATCAAACATATTGGCCGGGCCTGATTCACCTGATACCATTTTGACTGGTGATATTATGTTACGTGACTTCTTCTGATTAACTACTATTCTCAAAGGCAAATCAGGACTGGCTTTAAAGTTAAATATTTGTACGATATACATTTGCAATGAAAAGGAAATTTGTTTTTCAGTCCTGTAATGTTTGTTTTCAGGCATTAAGAAGCGACTCGGCACCAGACGGACAAGCGCTGGGTGAAACACGCAAACAACTCAAAGAGGAAACTTTGCTTCGATTGGTGCGTCTTTTTCTTCTCTCATGTTTAGATTTCAACGTCGTCATGGAATTCTGATAAAGCGTTATATTCCCTGGGGAAAACACTGGGACAGGTGTTGGTGTAAATCTGGTCGGTTGTGCCTGTCCCTGTATTTAATGTGAGCGGTCTGCTGCTTGTGAAGTGTGTATCTGAACTTAGAGCTGATCTCTGTGCAGGATGTAGAGAAGGAGCTGGAGGTGCAGATCGGGATGAAGCAGGAGATGGAGATGTCCATGAAGATGCTGGAGAAAGACATCTGTGAGAAGCAGGATGCCCTGGTGGAGCTCAGACAGCAGCTGGAGGACCTTCGTGCAATCAACCAACAGCTTAGCCACAAGTCACAGGTGAGGCTGCCTTTCTGCTCCAGTCACTTCACGTTTGTGCAGGAAACGTGTTTGACCTGCTGGTTTGTCTGTTTCACAGACATCAAAATGTCATCGTCTATTTTTCATCTTTGGTGTTTATCTGTCAAATGTTGGCGATGCAATTTGGCTACTAAGCAGCCTTCGCTTTGTGTTTTTTTTCATACTGCACAGAAATTACTTGGTAGTCAGGTCCTATGTCAAATGTGTTTTGTTCCTTTTTACTGGGCAAAAAGATATGGTGGCAAAATGCACAGTGACTTATATGAAAACACTTTTTCTTTTTAAGACCGGGAAGAACAGAGGGTTTTTACTGATAGTCTAAAGACAGAGGGTGTCGTATGCTGTAAATTTGTGATATTGGGCTGTATAAATAAAACTGAATAACCGAGACGGTGAACACTGCACTGACTTTTTTTTAAATTACCGTCAGACTTTTTGTTGAGATAGGAAGTCTTTGCACTGCGTTAAGGTAGACTCCAGCCATGAATATCATTTTAAGGGTTTTTACTGCTTTATAATATTACTTTTTCTTGTAATGGTTCAAAATACTACTACTTTATTCTCATGACTTCTTTCTATAAATATTACATCTTCATTATTGTTTCTTCATTTCAGTTTAATCTACACCGTAATCTCAAGCTTCACCGCTGTACGTAGCAGAGTTATAAGCTCCGTGCATGGCCTTGTACCTTTGACATTTTATCAAGGAGTCAGATAGTTGCCAGCACAGTTTTTAATCTTTTTGCACTGATGATTTAACCAGAAGAGTTTTAATATGATCCAGGCTGTAGAAATGTCATCTAACACTGTCTATTGGAAAAATTACTTTTACCTCTGGAACCAGCGCCACTGAATTAAAACGAATTAATTAAAACACTGCTGCAGACAAATCATTGAAATAAAGGAGCACCAAACTGTTCCAGTTTTTAATGAGACAAACATCATGTACTGATGTATTGTACTAGTTATTGTTTCCAGTTGACTAACATCATCTGTCATCTTCTTCAGAGTGCAGATGCCAGCTCTAAACAGAAGAGTGAAGCAATCACTCGCCTGGAGGAGAAAGTAAACCAGATGACGGGGACTGTAAAACAGCTGGAGACAAGGTGAGTACGATTCTCCACGGCCATGATTGGTGTTTTGAATAATTATTACACTAGTTTTTCTTCATGGGATCACTTGCCTACAAAAACATCTTATTGTTCTGTTTTCATATTTCTCTCCCCGCTCTCCTTGCCATTATTCTTCATTATCATTATTTCTTTTAATCGTTCATCAGTGAGAAACATTTGGTGAAGCAGGCCAAAAACCTGAACTCAGCAGCAGGGAAGCTGCTGCAGCTGCAGCAGTAGCTCTCCGCTTTCATGAATCTGAATACAAACATACAACCCTGCCTAATATCGAAATAACCAAACTAGGATGTTCTCTTTTCTGTACAATGCTCCTTTGTTGTTGAAAATAAACTCATTTTCCCACAACGTCCTGCAGTGGCTCTCCAGCATCAGCTTTGAGTAGTGTGGACTGAATCGATCCTTATAGCAGCCCTTAATCCTTGTGTTCTCTAACAGATCCACAGAGTTTGCTACATCCGATTTATACTTTTATTTGGTAGGCATTTCTTACAAATACCCCATTAATGCTTTCTGGCAAAGGTAAGACGAGGAGATGGCAAAGTGTTCGACAGTCTGTTGTGGACAGACTTAAGATTTATTGCACTGATGATTAACGGACACATTCTGGATATTTGGAAGGTAGTGGACTTGCTGTAATGTTACTCCAAAGAATATGACCACTACCAGAGACTGTGCTTGAATATTTTCGACCAACAGAGACAGAATAAAAAAAGAGAATCTAAAGTGATGTTCAGGGACTGATATCAGTTCCACATTCGAGTGTAGAAGTCCAGGACAGGAGCAAGATAAAGTAAGACGACAAAAGGGCAAAATAAATTTATTAATTTTGAAGTGTATGTGAACATAACATTGGTGTAAACTGTAGTAATCATTAGGCTAATAAAACAATAAACAAACACAGCCTGCTTCATCTTCTTTGTCCTTGTTGGCTTTTAGTCCTCACACACTTGATCTGTTTGTCATTTTTGTGTTGTTTTTTTATTAAGTTTTGGTTGACTTCTCTTTCCAACCATGTTTCTTTTCATCAAGTTTTCATTTTACCATAAGTTTACGTGACAACCCCCCCCTCCCCCCCTCCCCAAACCAGATGCAAACAGGCTGAGAGAGAGAGGGATCTGGCTTTAGAGGCCACCCGGCTCTTCAAACAGGACTTCGGAGATAAAATCGAGAGTCTGCAGGCAGAGGTGGAGCAGCTGAGGAAGCACAGGTAACAGGAAGCTAAATTTAAGTAAAAGTGTGTGTTTTATTAAAGGATAAGGCTGGTGATATTCTTTATTTTTCTTAGTGTCAACAAATCTCATGAAAAGACCCAAACCATCAATGAATGTGTCCTACTGACATGTATTTATATCAAAGCCCAGTATATCTTATTCTTCTGCATCTTAGAGCTCCAAAAACTATTAATTGCACTGGGTGAAATGTTCCTGCATGCTACCACAAATACTAGAGCACTAAATGTGTATTAATCCGTCACATTGGCATGAAAATAGTCCTCAACAAAATATAAACGTGTGTTCACTGCGTGTTTGTCTTGTTTCAGGTCTAATCTGGAGCAGGAGCTGAGAAAAGAGCGAGAGCGAAGGAGCGAGCATCATTTCGACACCGGGTCCAAACGGGCCAGCACTCCTCGTAGGGAGAGGAGACACCCCGAGAGCATACCAAAAGTAAACCTGGCATAAGAAAAGTGCAGAATTAATGACAAGTGAAAGTCTCATTACAGCTGTCTACTTTTATACAATGAGTGTGTATTTTACCAACAGCGTCCACCAGAATCCCCATCAGTCAAAAAGGAAAATGACCAGTTAAACACAGAACAAGAAGACAAAACAAGCCTGAGCTCCAGCTTGTAAGTAGTTTTCAAAGCTACAGCTTGAGGAAATATTGTTGTTTTTTTTCTTTCTTTATGTATCTGCTTCTCCTCCTTTAAGGTCCTTGTCACACCATGAGGAGGATGAACAGGTGAGGTCAAGCTTACCAATTCAATTCAATTCAATCTAGCTTTATTGGCATGAATGTAAAACAACAATATTGCCAAAGCTACAAATAAATTACAAAAGAACGATTCATTTTATACAGTTCATTAAATAAAGCAAATAAAAAGGTAAAGTGTGTTTGTTTCTGTAAAATAAATAAATATTAAAATAAAATAAATAAAACCGTAAATGTGTGTTTGTATATTAATAGACAAAAACAAAAATAAATCTATATCAAATGTGAAATAAAAAACCCTCAGAACAATTACTAAAATAAGAAACAATGAAAATAATAATAATTTGGAATTTCAGAACTATTATTTAATATATTTATCAGTCTATTCTGAGTTCTCACTGGTTGTCCTCAGTTTGATATATTTTGCTGCAGTTATTTGACATTCTGGCATTTCTCCCAGTAAATAGGGGAGTTTCTGTGTGTCTGATATATTTGTGAAATGTTTGCGAAGTGTTTTTCTCCTAATGTTTTATATTTAGGGCATGAGGTTAGAAAGTGCAGCTCTGTCTCTACCTGTCCCCTGTCACACTGGGAGCAGAGTCTCTCCTCTTGTGGTAGCCAGCTCTGTCTGTGGCGTATTCAATATATATTTGTCTTTCTGCTTGTTGATAATTTGGTTTGGTCTGCTTGAGTTGCTGTCCTGAGGCTGTTGGGGACTTGTTATGCAGAGAGCCTCAGGACCAGCTGGCTGAGGGGACTCTTCTCTGGTTTCAGCTCCTGGCATGTTAGGGCTTTGTTAACTGATTTTAAGTGATTGTAAAATTGAATTGATCTTTTCTGTATTTTTAGTAAGAGGGGGTATTGGCCGAGCTCTGCTCTGCACAGGTTATTTGGTGTTTTTCTCTGCACCTGCAGGATGCTCTTACGGAACTCAGTATGGAAAAATTTTATGATTATTTTGTCCCATTTCTCAAATTCATTATTAAGTTTTGGCCCCCAAATATCGCTACCATATAGAATTATTGGTTCTAGTACAAATTGGAAAATTTTAAGCCAGATTTCCAATGGAATATAGATTTTAATGTTTCTTTTTATTGCATAGAAAGCTCTCCTTGCTTTGTCCTTCAGGTCTTTCACAGCCATGTTGAGGTTTCCTGTGCAAGTAATGTTGAGGCCAAGGTAAGTGTAGTTTTTTGTATGTTGTAATTTAGTGGTGTCTAAATAGAAATTGTGTGTAACCTGGTTTCTGTATTGTTTCTGAAAGATTATCTTGGTCTTTGCTGTGTTTACTGTCAGGGCTCAGGTCTGACAAAATCTCTGCAGGAGATTAAGGTGCTGCTGTAAACCTTCTTTAGTAGGTGAAAGCACCACTAAGTCACCTGCATACAGCAGACCTCTGATCTCTGTGTCGTTCAGGCCAGGTACCGTGGAACGCTCTAGTTGGTTCGCTTCGCTAATTCATTGATATATAGATTGAAGAGAATTGAACTGAGATTGCATCCCTGCCTCACTCCCTGGCGCTGGGAGAAGAACGCTGTTTGTTTGTTTCCAATCTATATGGCACATTCACTTTTTGTATACATGTTCTTAATCATATGTTTTTCCTCTTTCAAGTAGCCTATAGAAAAGACCCTCCAGACTTTATGATTGTTTTCTAACTGCAATAAAAACAAAGAGGATATTCTATAAGGAAAAAAACCCAATCGACTTTTAATCCAAGTATTGAAGTGGTCAATAATGGACCACTTCAAATAAAACACTCTTTTCACTCTTATCATTGTCATACACGCACTCAAGTGTATGCGTTAAGATGCAAACACGAACTGAAGGAGGAATGCTAGTATTGATTGGGATATTTAGAAAATCCCATAAAGCCTATAATTAACACCTTATTATTGATTGATTTTCTGCAGGACGAGTCACTCGTGCAGATCAGTCATCCTTCCATCTGTACGATGTGTGAACAGGACGACTCCCTCTTGAAGACAAAGGTATGAGGATGAAAAAATGATTCTGAACTTTGCTGAATCAACTTCTCACTTGTTAAAAAGGTGTACTATATTTAGTCCCACTATAAGTCAGAAGAGGGTGCTATTATTATATTAGTCCAGTCTTTACCTGAACAGAGATGTTTTTTTATACAAAAAAATAAGCAAAACCAAACAGCAACAACAAATTGTCAAATTAAATGCAAGGCTTAAGCACATTTTTAGATAAATTATAACGTATTTTCAAGTGAGGCTTAGTTATCACATTACATGGCACCTCTCCCACACATTTGGGTTTTTTTAATTAGCTACTCTGGCAGCGAAGCTCTAACGATGTCTCGGGTCGGCCAGTCAGTGTGTTTATCCACCACTTTGGTCCAAACTGAAATGTTCAAACAACTATCGGATAGATCGTCATTAAATTTGGTTCAGACCTTCAGGTCCCCCTTTATGACCACAAACTATTGAAATTCTCATCTGCCTCAGCTGTACTTCTTTAGTGCTCATTACCAAGTGTTAGCATGCTGTTGCAGATGCTGCATAATTTAATGTTAAGTGTCAATTTACAAAATTAAATATAAAAAGAAATGTCAGGTGGATTATTTTATCCTGTGAGTTTGAAGGAAAGCGTGCTAGCAGAGTTATTAAAATGTGGTGTCTTTAGCAGCCCATCTTTTAGGTATGAAGGTTGTGATGAACTTTAAATGACAGCTGTTTGACAATGATTTCACTAAAAGGCATAATGCAGACATATTTTACAGGAAGCCTTGGATTTAATCAGGGTTGTAGTGGCAACTTTTAAAACTTATTTTGCAACTATTGCAGGACATAAAGTTTCTGACTCGTGCTTTCCAAAAAGGGCAAGACTGTATAATCCAGTGAGGCAATGAGGCAGATGTAACATGAAAAAGTATCTGACGTTTTATTTGACAAAAAAAGATGACAGTTACAAAATAAATGTCCTCAGGCAGAGTCCTAATTATGTGTTCTATCAAACTTACTTAGATACAGGTAACAACTTCAAAATTTCCTATTGCTATACACAACGCAACAGTCAGAAAACAGTTGCTCCGTGTCCTGCTTGGCTGACCCTTTTACCGCAGCACGTGCCAATAGGTGCTCTCACCTCATTTTTACTACACTTAGCTGCATTTTACGGCACTTACATAGCTCTGAGTTAACAGGACAAACTAATGGAGCACAACTACACATGTTAATTCGCTAAATACACACTGAAACAAACAAAATATTACCAAGTAAAAGACAAGTAATGGAAAATTAATATAACTTACGAAATAATCCAAAAGATTGACCACGTTTTCTTAATGGCTCTAACAAGGGTTTTTAATTAATGTTCCGCCAGAGTGCATTATGAATAATCCTGTTTTTCTGTCTGTAGATACAATGTAAGAACTGCAGCGGGGTTTTCTGTGAGAGCTGTGTGTCCAACGAGCTGCCGTTACCTTCCTCCATACTCCCAGAGACTGTCTGTACGGCCTGCTACTCTCGGTTACTCCAACAATACGCTTCAACACCAACATGAAAGGAAACAAGTCCGTATTTTACTACAATACACGGTGATCAGACACATATCAACCAGAGGCATTGATTTGTAAAACTGGCACTGCAAAAACGCACTTTTTGATTTCATGACTCGAGACGTTCTGAAAGTCTGACGTTCAGAACTTGCAATGTTTTGGTGGCTTTAAGTTAGAAATGTCCAATCATGTGCCATTGTGAGCTGTTTGGATGCAGGTTTTCATTTTTCAAATACTGATGTGGCCATAATTCTTCCTTTTCGGGCTGAAAGCGTGTGTTTAGTTGCTGCTGTGTTTCTTACTTAAAACCTGCACTCAAAAAGGTGAAAATGGCATCTGGCTGGAAATTAATGATATAAAAAAGTAAAAAATAATTTAATGCATTTAAAAACAGACTTTCCACAATGTCCACTAAGTGGATTATTGATGAAAAGGTCTACTTTTTAACCTCAGTTTTAAAAGATGAAAAAGGAAAAACAAGACTTTTTTGCTCTGTATGCTGTCATTTTAGCCACAACTGGCGCTGCACAGTGGTTAATCTCACACAGATCAGTATACGATGTGTATGATGATGAATAAAATATTGACATCATTTCACTTACACAGTGATACTGACTGATAGGACAAACACTTTTGATCAAATGCTCTATTATACTGTAAGATTCAACATGTGTCATTATTTTGGGAAAGACTGCATGCTCTGTGAACAGCTTTTTATACGCTCTAAAACTGTTTAAAATAAATTATTAATACACTCAGTCTGATGACTTTAGATAATTGTAAAACTGGAATGCAGAATTGATGTTCAGGAAAAGACAAATATTTAAGTTGTATCACAGTGTAATGAAAACCAAAATCCTACACGGCTAGATATCGAGGATCTGTATCTAGTCTCTTATCATGATATCAATATTTGATGGACATATCACCAGTTTTGGTGTTAAGACTGTAGAAGAGAGTTGGTTTTCCTGTTCAGTCTCTGTCAGAGGAATAGTTGAGACATTTTAGGCGAGCTAACTGGCTGCTTGCTGTAGCTTCATATTGCAGACATGACGGTGGTTATCGGTCTGGGCAAATATGTCAGACCGTTCTTTTAAGTTTACAAAGCTGAACATTCTGGGTATAATATTTCTTTACTGTAGCTGTTGTGTTCTATATGAGTCAGAAGTGGCATTAACAAAAAGGCATTCATCTCCCGTTGACATTTAACATTTTGTCGCACTCTGGCTATACTAACTCCTTTCTCTGGACGTTTTAACACCTTCCGGGACTTTTAAGTGCATGGCTCTCTGCCTGACAGGTTTGACGTGGGCATATCGGTGAATATTTGTAACAGCTGTTTTTATGTTGTGCTGATTTATATGAAAAATAAGCAGAAGCTCAGTTTAAATATTTAGTGGTTCTTGTCGTATGGAAATGCTTCTTAGATCAACAATAAACTTTTATTTAATTTTACCGCTGTGTGTGACTCTGGATTATTTTAACTTGTGTTACACATTTGAGCCTGATTTCTGTTCAACGTTAAGTCCTCCACTGTAAGCAAGATCTAAATACTTGTCATGAAGTATCTCAGAGGACATTTTGACATTGTGATTTGTTTATTCCTTTGAATTCTTTTGTGCACAGAAATATATTTTTGCAGATTAGAGAAAAGTGAGCAGTTAAGTGCTTAAAATGATCTTTTTGGTTCACCCACACAACTTAACAGAATGTATCCACCTGCAATTCATTTTACCATTTAAAGCAACCTTTTTATTTTTCATTGAAACACCTCTTACTTGCTGGTTTTGTACAGTATAACTTCAGTAAAGTTAACTGAATACTTGCTCACCGGTGTTTGCAGGAGATCGAGTTATTTGAAAGTGTTTTGGAGATTCAATTGGCTCACAAAGGTTCTAGTTTAACAACTGAAAAGTGTCTTGAACATATTTGGATGTTAATCACCAGCGTGGTGCTGACGTAATGATTTATCTGCCAATATCAGTACCTATCGGTCTGTACATGGTCATTAAATGTGAGATTTAACTATGAAAGCCACGTGTTTTTGGTGATATTCAGACTTCTCAAATCTGAAAGAAGTTAAGCAATGAGGTGAATGAAGCCTGTGTACAATCTTTAGTTTGGGTAAATTAAAGATTTCAGATTTAGTGAAAATCTCCAGTTGTTTAGACGTTTCATTATTTAAATTATTTTGCCTCATGTTCTTCCTCAGCTTCATTTGAAGTGTTGATTCTCATTTTTGGAAACTCCCACACTTGACCGAGTGAAATCTTGACACACAGCAGGTTTCCCCCAAAGCATTAGCCTGTACCACCACCGATGATTTCAAGTAAAACTCAGCTGAATGTCACACGGACGGAGGAGACTTCCTGTCAAGGGATAAAACTTTGTATGAACAGGAATATTCTGTTTAGATAAATTATCTGCCTGTTTATTTATTGAATCAATTTTCCACATTGGAGATGAAAGAACAAAAAACTTTTCTAATGTCAGATTTGCAGGATTTCGCTTTCTGGGCCTCTAGAGAAAACTGCATTTTGTGCAATTTTTTTACCGTTTGTAACCTTTATTAAAATAACGCCGTAATAATAAATAACAGCAGTACTGGTATAGCACTTTTCAATACAGGTAACAAAGTGCTTTCCAGCAATCAATATAAAACATAGACAAGTCTAATAAAAATCAGTATCACATACAGTGGTGTGCAACGAATAACTGGGTCTGACAACAAAGGCCGTGTCTCCTTTGGTTTTTAGCCTAGACCTTGGAACAGTTAGCAACCCCCTACCAGAGGATCTCAGGCTGCGTCCCGGCTCGTAGGGGGGTAGAAATCTCCCTAATGGAATTCACTTTTTAAATGAGTTGTCTATGTTGATCTTAAACTGTAATTAACTCCCTCTTGTTAGATCGAGACAGTAAAGAAACTTTTTCTTTTGACACCAGGAAGGTTTATTGTTTGATGCAGGTCAAGCTGGAAAATAAATACAGTAGTCCTGTGTGTGTGCGTTTGGCATCTGTGTGTGTCGGCATTCACCTGCGGGAGAAAATACAACATGGTTATCACATCTGGAGGAGAGTTAAAAAGGAACCTCAGCAAAGTTTGTAGCAGAGGCTGAAAAGTGTTCATGTTTGTTCCATAAATAGCTGGAAACTGCCAGCTGATGGGTTGTAATTTCTAAACTATATAAAGTGATCCTAGAGGAAACATTCATTAAACTGTCTTTAAGAAATGTACAATCTCTGTCTCCTTTGTAACATCCTTAAAAATGTGAATTAGAAATATGAAAAATAAGTTATGTTTTTCTGTTACAAAGCGAGAATCTCCAGCTCTGTGGATGTAATTCAGTGTTTCTCACATTCCATCATGTTCTGGCGCCGAGTTCAGGAACAACTCGATGTATCTTTCTCCTGAAAATCAGAGACAGTTCAAACGTTAAGTGAATGATATAATGTAATAACAGATGAGAACAAGTAGATAATGGAAAATAAAGAGGATCTGCTGACATTAAATCTCTTTGAGCATCTGGTTTTCACTTTAAATAACCAAATTAAGTACAAGCCACTCAGACGCCAAGGCTGCACAATCTTTTGCTTATGTTGTTTAAATTATTGAAAATGTTTATAACCTAATCAAGTCCCAGTTAAAAGTCAGAAACAGTTTTATGAAAATTCCTGTTTTCCAGCGTGCCCACGTCAGCTGGTCCCAGTGTTAAATCTGCAGTCTCACCTATGTGCTGTCTGTCTCTGGACATGGCGGCCACGGCGTCCTGGTGGCAACTGAAGTAAACGTCGGCCTCACCGCTCGGCCTCCCGTCAGGGCCGCATTCAATCAGGATCTTAGACACAGCTAGAGGAAAAAAGAACTGCAAGAGAAAAACAAAAGTGACCCCGAAAGCACCGGCACACCCAGCTTCAACGTCTCGACATGTTCATTGTGTTGATTTCTACCTTCACGACGTCTTCACCAGACACCTGGAAAGGAAGTCCTCTCATATGGATGTAATGAAGCGGCAGGGCCGAGCTCAGAGGGGATCCTGGAGGAGCACATGCTCAGTTAATGCCAGGATGATAAGTTTTTAGAGGCTAAAGCAACTCATCAGCAAAAATGTCAATTATCTTTAAAAGAATCTCTAATGCAGTCTACCTGCCTAGTTGATGTATCATTTGGGCTTTCATTTGTATTTATGATATCTAATATTATCTAAACTAAATCAGTTTTTACTCATTTTCACTGAAAATAATTTTTTTTAAAAGGAACAGATCTGTTTAAACCAACTTTGAACAGGTATTTTGTCCCCAACCATCAAAACATTGATGTGTTTTGTGTTAAAGAAGACGTTGATCACCAAAGTGAAGAAAAATAGTGAGAAAGTAAATGACGTGCTGATCATGCACCAAGGTCCTTTATAGAAAGTAAGAAAATAAATAGTGTTTGAGCTAAAATTCTAAAATTTTGTTTTTCTTAATCCATTTATCACTCTGAACAGAAAGTCAATATAATGTGACGTACTAATCCCCTCACCAGCTTTGGGGTTGGTCTGTGAGGCGGTCCTCCTGTTTGCTGACTGAGGGCTGGTCTGAGGAGAAGCTGAACTCGTCCTCTTCCTCCAACTAGAATGAATCTCGTCACTTCTGCTGGGAAACACCTCGATGTATCTGCAAAAACAGGCAGCACCAAACAAATATGAGAAGTTAATAGAGTCAAAGATGCGAGTGAAGAAACAAATCGCTGACTTTTGTCTCTTAAAAGCTGGTATAACAGTAACATTAGCTACTTCCTGTTCCTGACAGAATTATAAAGTTGGTTCAGGCCTTATCGTGAGCATGTGCAGCATCCTACCTGTTTCCAATGACCTCTCTGTCTCTCCTCAGAGCTTCATCAGCTGCTTCTTGAGAGGAAAATCGCACAAAGCCCTCGCCAGAGTTTCTCCCTTTGTGGTCCATGATGATGGTGATCCCATTCTCCACTATATCCAAACCTGAGGTCATTAAACAAGTTTTTATCCTTCTGTTCATCATTCTCTCTCTTAGCGCAAGTCAAATATTTGTCAAAAAAAGAAACATACTTTTCATACAATGTGCCAATCAAATGTGCTTTTGGCCAACCAGGTAACCTCTGCAGTCATGTAAAACCAGTGGTGGTATGTAACCAAGTACAATTATTCAAGGACTGTACTTAAGCACAAATTCAAGGTACTTGTGCTACATTATACATCTCAGAGACAAATTTTTACTCCATTCTATTTTCTTGACAGCTTCAGTTACTTACAATCTTTCATTTGGTGACTTTGAATTATTCTGATAAACTGAATAATTAAGTTTCTTCATGGGTTGAGAAAATTGTCCAACTTTTTAAGCAAAATAAACTATGTAATAAACTGTTTCTCTGAGCTCATGAGAGTTAGATTTCTTTAGAGATACGTGATTCTCACAGGACAGCAACATATGATGATCTTGTAGAATATAATGCATTGCTGTAGATTATACTATACTAAAATGAGCTCAACCTTAATTCAGTGTGTAAGATTTAGTGGCATCTAGTGGTGAGGGTTGTGTATTGCAACCATCTGTCCAGTCTACCACTGACCCCCAACCTTTCAAAGAGCGTAGGACAGTTACGGTGGCTGACACAGCATAAAAGGTGTCTCTTCTGAGACAGCAGAAAGTGGACAGTCAAGAAATTAGGTTACTTTAGGTATATTTACTTAATTATTCAGTAAAACCAGATGTTATTGTGGCTTGGCCACTGACAGACAAGCCAAGAGTGTGGAACACTGTCACTGTTTCTGCACCACAGTCCATTATAAACCACACATTAGATAAAGTTTACACTGTCAAGGGAAACACAGTCATTCTCTCTGTGATTATGGACCATCGCCAAAACTGCACAACAGCAGTAATATCTGGCCCACAGTCAGATTATGGTGCTTTGAAAATATAAATAGGTAGCAACAGTTACTCACATAATCACTTCCTCTTTAGTGGTTTTGCTGACCAAATAAAACGTGAGAAGCTTGTTTACTGCAATGCGGTATTTGGAGTTGAACAGCATTGATTTAGAAAAATTCTGAACGACATTAAAAGAGTCTGTAGTAGTGTTGTGTTTCGTTCATTTGACCTAATCTTGTGGATGACTCAGGAGGAACGAGTAGTCTGAGGGAGTAATTTGTTCATTTTCATGCATGCGTGAATAGTCTTGGACTCATCACTCATCACAAGGCAGCTGCATGGGCTCAGTCAGCACAGGAAGCAGAATTGATTAGTTCACGACTACCTCGTCACGTGGGATCTCGGCTACTGTGGAGCAGGAATGAACACTTGCACACACACATGCACACTGTTGACTTTTTTTTTCCTTATGTGTGTCATGGTTTTACGTGATGTTTGTCCGATTGTTGTTTTGATGTGTTTAGATTGTATATTTTAATATAATTGATATTTTACTAAATGTATCTTAATTTTTTAGTGCTATGTACTATGTAATCTTTTTTAGGGTGACTCTTAACATCTGTCTAGGGACTGCAGATGAAAAATAGCCTTTAGGCTAATTCTGGCATATTGACAGAAATGTTTATGAATATGCACTGTCCCTGTAATAAATAAATAAACAAACAAACTCATCGTTCACTACTCACATGGGTCCTCTGCGGAGTCTGTAGTTCACTCGGCAGGCTGAGTTACTGCCAGCGCCAGAAGAATGAGAGGCAAGTCTGTTGTCAGGTACCAGTCGCTGGACTGACAGTATCTATTTTGTTATTATGTGACATTTAATAAAGCATAACGTTATTACAGCGCAGTGGTGTTGTACTGTAGTTTTAACACGGCCGAACCGTAACTTTAGTCCTGCTAGTGTTTACAGCTGATGAGAGGGTTCTCTTCACTTCAGAGCCCTGACAGGGTTCTACTGGGAGCCGTCTCCTCTCCAAAACTAACGGACCGGGTCATTAAAACATTAAACATTGTTGATCCACAGCTCTTGACTGGTGAACAACCTGGCAGCGTTTGAGAGAGATGTGCTCATGTTTGTTTCTCTGTCTGCAGAATCCGGACCTGATGTGGACATTTCTGCGTCCAGACCTGCCAAACTGCTGCGTTTATATAAATTGTTTATTTCTTTGTTCCCTTCTCTGTGCTGGAGTTCTTTTAAGAACTTGCTGGTTTTATCCAGATTATTATTAAATTTGTAAAATTTTTGTGCGTTTTATTCATCTATTGTGTCAAACTTATTACTTCAATATATTCCCAGCAAATCTGATGTTAATCTACAGATTTTACTCATGTATAGGGATGTTAGGTTACTGTATGAATGAGCACTTTAGAGATATAAAGAGTAATTATAATTATATACATACATATGGCTGGTCTGGTTGTATACTGTCAAAATGGAAGGATTTAGCCGGAGTAGAGGCATAATTGAATATTGACAACATATAGATAGAGAAAGATCAAGAGGTGAATTTGTGCATTATACTTTGTCAATTAAAGCAAACCAGGCAGCCCTCCGTGTTTGAGAACTGTTCTGTTTTTTGTTTTGTTTTTTTTGTTTGTTTTTTAAATCGCCCACTAGAGGGCTGCAGCGCCGCAATAACCAGCCTAATTCAGATGAATGAAAAAAAGATTAGTTCATTTTAATGAAGGAGATTTGATGACTTGAGTCTGTCAAAAGAGTGACTTTTCCCATCACTAGTCTGTAGCGTGCTTGACTCACCTCTGAAAGAGCTGTCAGAAAACATGATACCCCTAAATGTCCTCTGCCTGGAGACACTAGGGACATGCAAAAGCATCCGTAGGTTGATGGATGCAGATCGAATACCGAAACAAAAAAAGTGCAGCACATGCCGTGATCTGAGAAACATTCACTGCAGAATCCATTTGTTGAAGAGAGGAAAAAAAAAGGTTGTCCCACAGTGGGATCAAACACTCAACCCCTAAGTTATGAGTCCTGCGCCTCGCCGACTGAGCTAACCGAACAACAACAATGTTGTGGCTTATATTCTCACCCACGATCTAATGGTATTCAACATAGTGATGAGTGTCTACGCTGCCTGAATTCTACCAGAAGCAGAGCAAGAAGAATATAGTGACGAAACGTGCTCTGTACCGCTGTTTGTCCGTTTTCAGCTACTATAGAAACATGACGACGCAACATGGCGACGTCCATGGAAGAGGAGATTATGTAGACTGGAATGGCACATTCTAAGATAATGAAAACTTAATGCTTTACTATGTAAGGGGTTTATACACCACTGAAAACATAGTTATGGATCCTATATTGCATTTCTGTCGATAAATCCTCAGAAATATTACACACTGGACCGTTAAACAACTATAGCAGTCAAATGCAACACACACATTAATGCAGCAGTAATATCAATCCAGAAACATCAGATATAACAGTAAAACACTGACGGGTACTATTTTACTGCAGAATTAGTACTTTTAAAGCTTTAGTCAGTTTTGCTGATGATACTTTAAGTTTTTGAATTCAGGACTTTTACTTGTAGTGGAGTATTTTCACCGTGTTGTATTAGAACGTTTACTGATGGTGAAAATTTACATTCAAATAAATGTCTGTGATGTATATGAAGTATTTGTCGCTAAATAAGGTAAAACAACTGATGAAAGCCCTTGCATTTTACAGTATTATGAACTGGGTGTCAGAGCTTTTTTTGAAGCTGATCAAATCCCATTATATATAAATAAAATTTTACAAAATATGTTATTATGGAAGCTAAAGATGGTCTATCGAAAGGTCCTGTGTAGCGATCAAAAGACAAGTGGACAAAGGGAGCAGCACTCAGTGTGGTTTCTAGCCACTGTACAGCGGTATGACAGCACAGATCCAGTGTTCCCAGTAAATTTGGACCTGTATTTACCTGAAAAAAACTGGACGATATCGGCCACCGTGCAGGTGAAGGGAAGACCTCTGAGCCGTACCACCCCGTCAGAAGATGGAGTATGGGCGGCTTTCTTCAGTATGACTTCAGCATCGCTGTTCGTCACTTCAAACACTGCAAAAACAGAAAAAGCATGGCGTGAGTATTTATTTATATTTACATGACATAAGCTGTCCCTTATTTACTTTGTTAACAATGTTACATTCAATAGTCCCAGGATTCCATGACAAAGTGACAGTGAATCAGCATGAACAATACCAGGACCCTGGAACTGAAGCACCTTAATGGAATCCAGACACCATTCGTTTGATCATTTAAACCTGTGATTTTGCTGCTATGGCATGTCAAAATGTCTTTATTATCTCTATTATCAGCCATCCACAAAGACCAGCTTGTAATACAAAGAGACAGTTATCTTTTAAGTGTAAGTAGCAATACCACAGTGAAGAAATACTTTGTCACAAGTCCTACATTTAAAATGTTACTTTGTATAAGTACAAATGTATCAACATCACAATGTACTTAATGTACCAAAAGTACTCATTATGCAGAAAGTCCTATTTCAGAATAATGTATATTACTGGATTCTAATTAATGATGCATTAATTTGTACATCACGGTGGAGCTAATTTTAATTACTTTATATACTGCTGGGTAGCTTAGTCCATAATAATACATGATCATTTATGTATTGATTATATTTACTTTTACTCTGAATCTACAAAGTAACTAATAACTTAAGTTATCAACTGAATGTAGTAAAGTAAAAAGTACAATACTTCCCTCTGAGATGTAGTGGAGTAGAAGTATAAAGTCGCATAAAATGGAAATACTCAAGTCAAGTACAACTACCACAAAATTGTACTTAAGTACAATAGTTGAGTAAATACTTCACGACGAACCTTCAACATAGCGTGGGCCGAGGTACTGTCGGTGCTTCTCCAGAGCTTTGCTGACGTCCTCCTCGTGCTCCATCTCGATGAAGGCTCGTCCCGACGGCCTCCCCAGCTTGTCCACAGTGAGATGGATCCCCTTCAGCCCGTCACGGATCCTACACTCTGAAGCACAGTAAATATGTTAACTAATACTTCTTTCTTATTTTTCTACATAACGTTACTTTGGTAAAAAATAATTATGTTGGACAATCAGGACAGCAAATGTTACATTTCCATTGTACAGTGCACAATAAAGACTTACATGTTTTGGTATTGACTTAGTTAGTTGGACAATGATCCAACTAACAAATACAACATTAACAGAAAGTAAAACAATTTTAACACTAAACTTGAATCTTGGAATTTAGAACAGAATAAAAACACAGACTTGAACTACAAGTGTTATTTAAATGGCCTACATACACTTAAATATGGGGTATGCAATTCTGGTTAAATCCAACACCGTGATTAATACCACAATAGAGTGAACAACAATACAGCATGTAATGTAACTAACATTAGCTAAGTTGTGGGTTAGCAAACTGTTGCTACAGTTGCTGCTGAGAAGCTAACATGCAGAGGGGAAGAGACGGTCCCAGAGCAACACAGCAGCTACAGACAGCGACACTCAGAGCTCTCCTGCTACTATAGCTAACATCACAACAACAGCATGTCTTGGGAAACTAGAAAGTAAGCTGAATGTCCGTGGGCAAGTCTTTTAACGTTACCTGACACACAAATCATGGCTGGAACAGCGGAAATAGTGTTGTGTGGCTCAGTCCCAGCCGCTTTGTTTGTTTCCCATTTACAGAGCCAGAGCTTAGTACAAACACCGGATTTATTTTCAGAAAACACAGAAAGGACAGCTAGCATTATAGCATATTAGATAAGAATTGCATACCCCACATTCAAGCAGAGGTGTGATGCTCACCTGCGAAGAACTGCAGGAGGTCCTGAGCCGAACACGACCACGGGAGACCTTTCACCTGTACGATGTACACCTCCTTCTTCTCTGGTTCTGAATCAGACTGATAGGCCGGCAGTGGTGGGTATTCATTTTCACAAGGTGCTCCTGCCTGAAAGACAAGATGTAAAATAAGAGTGAAGCTACCACAAATTCTGTTGAACATCACTGGCTATCCAACGGCCATCGACAAACTGAAATCACCTGTAGAAGAGTTGTGTACCTAACTGAATAAAAAAAAACACATCAATAACCACTTATGGGTCAAAGCAGTAGCTGCTGTTGGTCATCGTCTGAGCCCCCATCCTGCCACCGCCTGCCTTCTGCTCATGGTGTTTGCACCCTGTCACGTCCATGTTCGCATTAGGTACAGTAATGGCACCTTCATCATACAGCCAGGACAACCCAAAAATCAACTAGTGCTTCTATGAAAGAACACTACCTGGTCCCAGTCTGTCAGGTGGCCTCAATATTAAGTAATAAACACAAGATATGCTTTAATTAATACTGAAGGTAGTGGTGCAAATTCCCTAACAAATCAATTCAATTTGCAATTACTCACTTGGACCTGCAATGAATCTGGGACTTCTGAGACACTTGGTCAATGGGCTACATAAAAAAGGTATTACACTTTACGTATTATGTTGACACAGTTATCAACGTGTCCACCTCTACCTAAATTTACTTCTAAATACATTCAAACTAAAGACTCTTGTGTTTAAAGTCCTGATCAAACAGACTCTACTTTGGACTTCTGTTAAAGTCAGGAAACCTCACACATATATTTCAACTTTCAATCCCCAGCAGACCCTGTGTGACAGGTGATGCAGTCATAGGTACAGTTATCGGCCCCCCTTGTACGTGACTAACCTTGTTACAGAAGCTGTACCGGCTGGTTTTCACAGCGGACTGAAGCTGACAGAGCCTCTGCAGACACACTGTGCCGCTTGTTGAAGTCCAAGTTCGCTGCTGAATGAACCCACACCTGCCTGACAACACGCTGCTTCTTGTTTTGATCCCTGTCGATAACGTTACCTGCCTGACTGCGACACACCGCTGCAGTAGAAACAGCAGAGATTTACTGTTACAGGACATTTTAGACGAGCCCAGCCAGGAGCCAGATTAAGCAGAAGAGTCTTTTAGACTGAAATAATTAGATATCTAAGCAGCGAGGCCCGTATTTCTCGGAATGTAGCTAGATAGTTTAGCTAGCTACCGGCTTAGCATGAAGTTCGGCAGCTGAACTGACTCACGTGGGTCAGTCAAGGGCAGCGTTCTAGAGTTTTAACTGTGCTATCAAGCTAACAGCTGGACACGTTACAACTTCCGGTTTGTTCACCTTACAAATGTCAGTAAAGTGTGTTTGATGATTTTCAAATATAAATGAATCAATACTATTACTACGACAAATATTCATTTTAATTATTGTTATAATTATTATAATCATCATCAAATTAAATATATATAAATCATAGTAGCAGGTTTTCTTTAACCATAGACTGTATATGGATATATAACTAACGTTAACACATATATGAAGGTATTTTGGCATTTTTATTTGAAAAAACGCCTTAATTTGCGTCTATCTGCAGTTTTACTATGCCTACATTGTTATTAATATGTTTTATTTTATCTATTTCTACCCTTTATTTATTGCATAATTTTTTACTCTTTTGTTTTGTGTTGTCTCCTATAATGTTTTGTAACTGTGCTGTAAAGCAATGTGGTTGAACCGTGCTGTATTTTGTAAATAAATATTGAGTTAAGTTAATCTGTCCACAACGGCATACTTATATAATATTAGGACAGACAATTAAAAAGGAAAGATCTGTCTGTCTGCTAAGATGCGGAACAAGTGTTGCTACTAACTTATGTGAACTTGACTTGTCTCCTCCCTCAAGCGCTTCCTTCTTCTTCTTCTTCTTCTTCTTCTTCTTCGGGTTTTTACGGCAGCAGGCATCCATTGAGTTGCATTACTGCCACCTTTAGGTTTTTTTACCCTCAGCTTTCATTCATAATAAATCCGCCTATCTAATCCAGTCGTCCTCAAAAAACAAACAAACACACCAAACAAACAAAAAAACAAATATCCATTCCCTACCTTCCACACTCTCTCCATTTTCCAATAAACTTTTTAATGTATTATATACGCACGCATTTTTTTGTAACTGTGTTTTCATTTCTTGTCTCTCCTGAATAAATTTCCTGCATGTTGTGAGAATATGTTCTTCTGTTTTAGCCTCCTGACATTGTTCACACATCCCTGTTGGATGTTTTCCTATAATTAAAAGTGTGCTGTTAAGATTGCTATGTCCAATTCTCAGCCTGCTTTTTATCACCTGCTCTTTCCGCTTTGCTCCCCTACTTCTTGACATGCCTACTCTGTTTTGGATTGCATGTAAATGTCTACAATTTGTTGCATTATCCCAGCTCTGTTCGCATTGTTGATTTACACTTCTCCACACTATTCCCTACCTGTCTGATTTTGATAATTTAATATTGACTTCAACATCTCCTTTTTTAACTGCTTCTTTTGTCAACTTGTCTGCATTCTACATTTCCCTGAATCCCCGAGGGTGCTGGGACCCACACGAATATAACATTTTTCCCCTGTCTAGCTATTCTTGAGTTCATAAATAATACCCCAGGTCAAAAAGAAGTGCTAGGCATTGAAAATGTACTAGAAATTCACATATATTAATTAAACTTTTAATGAATATGCTTAAATATAAGCATATTTTTCACAACATGTAACTCTATTTATTAAAAATATATTTGTACCACTCTAAGAAAATGCTATTTAGGTTTACTTTGTGGAAGTATATTGTTAAACAATTACACTTTTAGTGTGTTAAAAATCTATTCATGCCAATTATGCTTCATTGTGTACTGTAATACTTTCAAAATATTTATGTAATTCCCAAATGTTTTATGCCTGCTTTCCCAGAAGTATGATTTTTCAGAAGCATAGTATTTCTTATGTAGCTTACACTTTTTTATTAAAATTTTATTTAACCAGGTTAATAGCCAGTTGAGATCAGAGACCCCAGGATGACCTGGCCAAGGAGGTAGCAGCCATAGACTGTAGTAGCACACGTCTTTAACAAACAAACAAACCAATGGTAATAACCATACTTTAAATCATAATGTAGTTATACTGTTTGTAAACAGTAAACACGTGTGCACAGGGGCGAAGTCTGCCCTCTCCTAGCGCAGTGAATTCAATTGGACCAATCAGAATCAAGGTTTTCAAATCGACGCCCCAATCACACTGCGTGAAAGTCCGCTGCAAGTACCTCACGGTCAGGTTACTGTGTCAAGTTAACGTATTGTTATTGAGAGGGAAGCTAATTTTGGCCAGAAAAGCATGTTGTTTCCCAGGTTTACTTTGTTTTACTTTCTCGACTCGGACATGGCAAAGGTGGACACCATAGACAAAATAAGAAAAGAGCACAGAAGAGAAGAAGAATATCAGGCCACACACAACTTCAATGTGAAGAGAGGTGTGCCTGGCAAGTGCTAACTTAGCAGGAGAGTACAGATGCAGATACTGACGGCAAAAATCCTCCTCCTTTGGGGTGAGTTGATTATTGTTAGCAAAACAAGACATTTGTGTAGCCTAACTAACATTGAATTCACTCTGGGTTTGAAAATACTTTTCCTAGTTGGATAGCTGGTGTGCATTAGCTAATGCTTGCTAACATGTGGATTTATAACTTTAATAGTAATTTTCTGATAGTTATTAGCTGACTTTAGTTAACTAGCATCTTAATAGCTTCATAATCTAGACTGCAAGTTTTGACTGCTTTAGAACCAGTTGGGAGTAATGCAATAAGTAATGCAATTATTGCTTTTTTATAACCTTAAAGGCAGGGTAGGCAAGTTGCTTCTAAAACACTTTTAAAACACTTTTTGTCATATTTGTTGAAACTGTCTATATACACCAATACATAACGGTAGCTACCTACTTAGCATACAGCTAACTGTTGCTACGAGTACAGGCTGGCGTAGGAGCCAGAGTAGAGACGATGAATTATATCTAGCTGTAGGTGAGCTGTTTTCTGACGCTAACATTAGGAAAGACAATTTAGATGTAGACTGTTTACTTAAGACGGTTTAGTTATTCACCATATAGGTTTATTGTTATACTATGTTTACAGTTTACTATCTTTACCTTGTATCCAACATGGTTGTGTGATTATCTTGGGTCTGCAGTTGATATTTGACTGTATGTTACTTTTACAAATGTGGTGATGTAGCTGTGTGTTTGTAGTTATGAGAAAGACATTTGCAACGTTGGTATACATAAACAATGATGGCTAACGTTAAAGGTCCCCAAGTATTTGTGTTTCTGGTATATAAGCTACCTATAATATAGTTTGATATTGTTCGTAGCTAAACCTACTGTGTGAAAACATTTTACTGTAATTGGTGCTGTTATGCCATTACTTATTTTACCAGAAGTAAAAAAATAAATAAATAAAAAAGTCTTCTACTGTGCCCTCAGGTCACCTGCAGATTTGGAGTCTTTCATAACCCTGTGCTTCTCACGGGTATATGCTGATATACCCGTGAGAAGCACAGGGTTATGAAAGACCATGCTGGTTGGCCTGGATTACAACCACCGTGTCCACAGTCAAGCCAGGAGAAAAGCTGATGACACAGTTCAGTATTTTGCATTATGAGTACTCCTATGCATTTTACTAAATACATTTATAAGTGATGAGTCAAAAAATATTAAACAGTATGAGGAATACAGATAGATGGTGCTGATTTAGTGTTTTGATTGCATTTTATGTGGAAATGCTAACTGCTCTATAAGAGAATAGTGTCAGCTATTACAAACTTTTCACTAAGCTGATCCTCCTTTCTGTATTATCAGGTACAGCAAGGTGTACAACAAAAAGTCCAGGAAGTGGAGCTTGTACTCATTGAAGGTGGAGAAGGACTACAGTTACATCGCAGACCTCCAGAGTGCCATCCTCCTCCACCAGTTGTCTACTACTGAGGAGATGCCTAGAAGCAGGAGACCTGATGATCCCCGTCAACATGGGGTTCAGTCAGGTATCCCCGCCCCAACTGTGTTGCTGGATACAGCAAAATATAAATCAAAGTAATATAGTTGTTTTTGAAATGTGGTAATCGTGTCAGAGAGGTGACTGTGAGATATTTAATCATCTCCACAGCAGCAATATGATGCTACATGCAAGTCTGAACTGTCTTCATCAGTCAGGACACCTCTGGACACACCTTGTCGATTCCTGTATATACTTATTTTTAATGATGTTTAAAATGATCTATTTGTGATATAGGTTGTAGTTTTAGTAGTATTTAATAACAAACAAGTGTTATACCACATTTGGATGTCATCATTGGACACATAAGACATAAATGTGCACAGCTCAAAAAAAAATATAAAAGGGAACACTAAAATAACACATCCTAGATCTGAATGAATGAAATAATCTCATTAAATACTCCTTTCTTTACATAGTTGAATGTGCTGACAACAAAATCACAAAAATGATCAATGGAAATCAAATTTATCAATCCATGGAGGTCTGGATTTGGAGTCACTCAAAATCAAAGTGGAAACCCACACTACAGGCCGATCCAACTTTGATGTAATGTCCTTTAAAACAAGTCAAAATGAGGCTCAGTAGTGTGTGTGGCCTCCACGTGCCTGTATGACCTCCCTACAAAGCCTGGGCATGCTCCTGATGAGGTGGCGGATGGTCTCCTGAGGGATCTCCTCCCAGACCTGGACTAAAGCATCCGCCAACTCCTGGACAGTCTGTGGTGCAACGTGGCGTTGGAGGATGGAGCGAGACATGATGTCCCAGATGTGCTCAATTGGATTCAGGTCTGGGGAACAGGCAGGCCAGTCCATAGCATCAATGCCTTCCTCTTGCAGGAACTGCTGACACACTCCAGCCACATGAGGTCTAGCATTGTCTTGCATTAGGAGGAACCCAGGGCCAACCGCACCAGCATATGGTCTCACAAGGGGTCTGAGGATCTCATCTCGGTACCTAATGGCAGTCAGGCTACCTCTGCCGAGCACATGGAGGGCTGTGCGGCCCCCCAAAGAAATGCCACCCCGCACCATTATTGACTCACCGCCAAACCGGTCATGCTGGAGGATGTTGCAGGCAGCAGAACGTTCTCCACGGCGTCTCCAGACGTGCTCAGTGCGAATCTTCTTTCATCTGTGAAGAGCACAGGGCACCAGTGGCGAATTTGCCAATCTTGGTGTTCTCTGGCAAATGCCAAAA